TCGAATTGGAAAAGTCACTGAAATAGGCTATTTGCCATCGGGAAAAAAAAATGTTCTGTTATTACTTCACGAAAAATGAACTGCACAAACGGTTTAAACTCCTACAGTATTCGCTTGTAATTTAAATGCAGTTAAAGGAAACGGGTTAACCAAGCAACGTGCTATTTTGCAAATCTATATATATATATATATATACACACATTCGTTGCAAGACTTTATGAGACGCTATTATTAATGAGTTATGAAACGCTATCTGTAAATTGCGTGTCCAGAATCCACATGAGCTAAGCACGTAGGTGCATGTATGTGTGAGTGCATGTAACTTCACATGCTCTGTCGTTTCTTAAAGTGGTTGGTTTTTGGGTCTCTCGAAATATTTTACAACAGTGCAACGATGTGCAGACGTGTTTTGTTCATCTTCACCTGTTTTCAGATGATTCAGCGACCGACTGAAGCGACCAAGGAAACCAAAACAAGTTGGTGGCTCAATAAATAATTCACCCACAGCACCATGTGATGGGCAGAAGTGTTATCTGTATCTGCCGCAAGTAGAGTTCACAAATGCACAGCTATTTTCATAATCCTCTTATCCGATGGAAACTCGGACACTGTGCGTTGAAAGCCTCATATTCTGTACATTTTGTGATCACTATTTTCGGTTGCAGCTGATCCCCACTTGTGTTCCCTCAGTGCTAATCCGGAACACACCGTGGAATACGCACTCACAACACGCAACGCACATAGTGTAAACCCTAAACCATCTTCCACAATAAAAAAAAAGGTCACTTTATGCTAAAGGTGGAGACTGCGGAATTTTTATCAGAGCTGAGCATAGAGACCCGGCATCGCCTTTCACACCTTCCCAGTGCTCAAGTGGTTTTGACAGCAAGAAGATGGAGAGGAAAGGAATTGAAGTTGTGCAGTGTTAGGGTTCGGGCGTCTCTTGGCGTCTCAGAGGTGAGCAAAGGCTGGAGGACGGACCACTTCGATGCCAATTGCTGCTCAGAGTCTCCATCAAATAAAACACGTCAATGCAACGTTCAAAACTCGTTTGCATTGAGCAGTTAAAATCGTGTGGGGTTTAGAGAGGGAGAGAGATAGAGAGAGAGAGAGAGAGAGAGGACCCTTCCCGTTACAGGGAGATGGGAGGCACAAAGAATCAGAGCCATCGCCTTTGTCAGCGAAATACACCCGACAACTGGGAGACAGATGTTCGGCGCAAACAGATGTTCCCTTATCCCAAACATTCACCCGACACAGTCCTCCAAAATAACAGCTACGAGCAATATACTTTCTCTCCTGCGTGAGCTGTCCGCTTCCCCCAACACAGGTTAAATATTGTGTCCACTTTATCACAGAGACCGAACACAGGACTCTGTCTCATTCACCACATCCCAATATCCCGCTCGAACCGTTTCGCTTTGGATGTTTGCGAATGAGTTGGTCTGTATTCCATCCACATTTTAAACGAAAGGTTTACGCATTTTGGGGGGATTTTTAATCGATTGAATCAATAAATCCGAATACGTTTTTTTTTCGAATGACATATTATTAAATGGTCGCGTTGTAATTATTGCAAACGGTTTAAAAGTGCTGATAAAACACGTTGTTCGCAGGGGTTTTCGTTTCGTTAGCGCTTGTTAGCGTTTCGGTGCCCACTGCCTTCAGAGCTTAATGTGTGAATTATTCCTAATGTTAAAAATCATTAACACTGTTTTAATTGTAGCACAGAGACAGGAAAACCACAAAGCCTTTACAACCTTTGCATCTTTTGCAAAATCTTCTCTTTTTTTAAAAAAAGAGATTTTATTTGTTGGGAAAGAAAAAAACAACTTGGTTTCTGCTTATTTGCCGATGTGCTGCAAACACAGTCCTGGGTATTAAGGTCTTGATCAGCCTAAAACACTCAATTTTTGCAATGTTTTAAATATACAATGGGGAGAGAGAAAAAAAAACAAAATTGAACAGATACATAATTTAAGTAAAGAACTAACTATCGTTTTCCTTTACAGATATTTGAAACGGTTTTAATTTGGAGTTAGATAGAAGGGGCGCCCGTTACTGGGATAGATTTGGTGGGTAACTGGGGCATCAGTGTTTGAAAAAATCCGTAGTTTATCTTAAGCCATTGAAATAAAACTCCCTGATGTTTGCAATTATATTTGGAGACAATTGGTTTTGTATCTTTAATGAAATCTGGGGAAATGGTCAGAGTTTCTCAATCAGTCAGACAGTCGCTTGTTGCAGCTCATTTTGAGACAAACCTTTTGCTGCTTTGTCACCCAGCCATGGTCTGGAGGGTTGGGCTGGAGGGTTGGGCTGGGGGGGGGGGGGTGGTACTGGAGGGGAATTACATGGGCGTTGGGCAAAAAAAAAGTGCCTTTGAAATAGGCAAAGTAATTCACACCGCAGTTAAAGAACGTACACTTCTATTCACACTGCAAGTCAAATCAAATCGGTGGTGGGTCGGGGACGCAATTTGCTGTTTCTACATCCAGAGTCTGTAATTTAATCACAGTGCTGAACTCACTCCTCAGTCACATCAACACCGGTGGCTACAATAACGTTCAGTGTAACGTGTGTCAGTGTATATGTGTTCCTCGATGTTCTCCTACACACTGAACTAACTTCCTTCCACTGTAGAAACTGCAGCTGTCCACGATGCCGTTATTCCCATTTGCGGATTGCACATTTGAACCTGCCTTTCAGGGATTAGACCAATACGTGACCTATATATGTGGAGATGGAAAACAACTTTATTTTAAACCACTGTGCACGATATGACATTTTAATATATACACCATTTTAAAGAACACCGACTCAGGGGCATGTGATTGCCTGAAATCTGAAGCATTAACCCTTGGTCCACAATCCTGAATCACTTTGGTGCCTTAGAACTGTGTTGGTTTCACCACTCTGTATCAAACTCTTACCAAATTTTAAAATGTTAATAGAAGAGGTGCACAGTGCAACTAATTTTAAATAAGATGAAATGAAAATATCTCTATAATAGTATTCAGAAGATATTCCAAAGCTAAGACGTTTCATCATCTCCTTCACTGCAAATCTCTTCCTTTTAATATTGGTAGATCCTAATCATTATGCGCCTTTTATTTACAATTTTGATTATTAAATATTACTACAGGCTCCATGAAAGTAAACAAGAAATTAGTTATCATTGATAACAGAATACAATCCAGAATAAACACTCCTTGAAAATAAAAAATATCATCAGAAATTAAACATTGGAGAAACCCATCAGCGTAGTTTAGAAATAATAATAAACCTTGTATCTGATATACCACCTTATCACATTGTTGAGCCATCTCAAACCGCTTTACTGAATATACTGTAATAATAATCCTTATAATCCTTGTACATGATGTAGCACTTTATCACATCATTGAGACAATTCACTGTAAAGTGAATTGACTGTATATTTTGTGAGCAAAACACAAAATAGTTCAAAGTAATTTGTTGAGAATCGGGCTGGAGAGACATTGGGTGAAGTAAACAGACAGTGAAGTGGTAGAAAATCAAAACACAATCTCTCTGCCCCAATTTAACAAAAGCTAACTAAATGCTCCACTTAAATTTGGTATGCAGAAAACTGTGCTGAGACAATTGTGATATTGGTCATATGTATCCAAACATACAAGAATACATACATATTGTTCAAGTCAAAGCATGGACAATTAGCATATTTTGCAACAACATTGTATTTTATTTCAAACCAATATACCAGAACACCACAGTGTAAGATACAACCTCACCTTTATGATTTTCCAAATCATTACAGCATTCAAGAAATGATACATTAAAAAAAATGTAAATCAACTATAAATAGTTCCAAAATGGAACCGGGGACGTTTCTGGAAATTTAAAGGATTCGGGGTGATTAGATATTGAGATAGATGTATCAAAGGAATCTTTTGGGAAGCTAGACGGCAACGCTAGAAAGACTAGTGGCTTCCTCCTGCCTGAAATTATAACTTAGTGTACAGTAATAGTTACGATGTCACTACCGTCTCTAGAATGAGTACATCTAGAGTAAGATCTCTATCATCTAGCATGAGCACTCACAGAGACACTACCCCATACGAAGGCCATTATATTAATGCAAGTTGTGTTGAGCATCTTTTTTTTAAATCTGTACATTACATTTGAGCATTACAACTACATGTGTGAGCTAGCTGACAGCAAGCCAACTTCCCTTTAATTTCACTGAGAGACTATTTTTGCTGAAAGACCATTCGCTGCACTGGGGATTATGTCCTATTACATCAGAAGTTAACCTCTTCAATAAAATTGACCTGGCTGTAGGTTGGAACAAAATGTACCTTTACTATTGTTAACCAGTACACATTATTGTATTTCACTGTTGCAATGACTGGAGCTGGGGGGGGGAGGGATTGCAATTAGCTAGCACCTGCAATTATCAAGAGTACCATTGAAATGACAGTGCATAAATAGATTGTCACTAATGCCATTTCACAAAGCTTTACATTGGTGGAGAGGCATTATCCTATTCTGGTTACATATTAGAGTAAAGCACTTACTCCACACAGGCACAATATGTTCAAATCACCTACACTCGCGTTGACAGTGTCAGGCCTTAGCATTTGTTCAAACAGCTCAGTTAACAAAAGGAGGTAAATGGTGCACTATAAGCCAAACATATGTATAAAAACATTCAGAAATACTGTAAGCTAACATGAAAAAAGAACTTGCATTTTTATAATACCTTACCACATTGACGTGTCTCAGAGTCACCTTACTTCACAGTAATTACTGCGAAGATTACAGACTCTTATTGAAGGCAAAAAAATAAGGTCGTGAGGAATACGACCATTTGGAGTATTGTTGGCTAAAACAACAGAAGAACTTGCCTTTTTTTCAAACCCAGTTGAAGAACAGACAGATGGGACCTCGGTTTAACCCCTCATTTGAAAGACAACATCTCTGACAATGCAAGAGAGCTCTCTCAGCAATGCAATGGAGTGTCAACCTAACCTTATGAGCTCATGCCCTGATGTAGAGTTAAATCCACAACTTTCTGACCCAGAGGTGAAAGTGTAAATGTGTATATTTCTACCAATGTAGAACCAAAGGAATATCCATTGGTTCTACATTGGGTAGAAATATGCACATTTACACTTTGACCAGACAAACAGCTAACAGATCCACACTTGTAGACTTTTGCTATGACTATTTGAGTTGTGTTTGATATGAAAGCTTGAATTACATTTTTCTCCACTGAAGTAAGTTTCTGAAACTGAAAATCTGAATATCCCATTTACTTAAATTGCAACCAAGTGGCAAAGAATACTAATGATCAATGGAAAGGAAAATATTTCTGAGCATAAACTATAAATGAAATAAATGTGTACTTCAAATGGACTACAGTTAACTACATTGGGTTAAGTATCATTTCTAATTATGAAGCACAACACATTCTAGGTGTTGCACCCATACGACTGGAAGAAACACATCATAGAATCAGGTCAGGAAATACTGTAGGTTAACCAGTACTACCAGATAACATTGATAATTTCACAGATTGTTAATAGAGGTCACAATTTATACTGATCTCTTGGTATTATCTGTGTGTGTATAGCTCAGTGTGCAACTCGACATCCTCTGTTAGGTTTGTCATCAAATCCAGCTTGTTTACAGTTATTTTTTGAAGGCTACAGTGATATAAATACATCCATCATTTTCTTTGGTTTACATAACAGTTAAAGGGGAATCATTCTGTATCTAAGACATTTCTGTCATTCACATTGATAACATATAACAATGCGGAACAGGAATAATAATTTAATGTTATTATTTATTGTCAAAATGCATATTTCATAAAGAGCAAAATGCATTTGTAAGTTTAATTGTTTTGTCTCAAACATTCCACCCGTAATACATTTTCAAGGTAAACAGTTACTTTTTAAAAAAAAATCATTTTGTGTCTTAGGTCAATGGAACAGAGGACAATTTTATCATTTAGATTTGCAATTCTTTAATATTGTGTGGAGCAGGAGGTGGTAGAAAAGTGATGTACAGTGTGTTGTTTGACCTATGCTCTAGTTCTGTGCTTCACATTAAAATGTTAAATCCTAAATATATATGTAAGGTGCAGACATTTAGAGCAAATTGTTGGTAGGCTGATTCTGGACCAAATAAGTAAACTTAAACATTATTTTATTTTTCAGAGTATTATGACTGAGTTTGGTTCACACATCCAGAATATATGGTTTTACAATAAAAACGTAATTGAATTTTTATGCCACCTTTTCTCATTTTTCATTTTGTGTTTTGCTTGTTGTGATCCTTTACCTATCGTTCATTTATTCGTTCATTTTTCTTTTCCTTCCTTTCTTCCAGTACGAATTGCTTTTTATCTGTGCACATTTGTCATTCTCTGTTATAGTCTTTTTCTTATTCCATTATTGTTTGCATGCCTGTCTATATGAATTAAATACTCTTTTGTGTGTCTGAAAAACATTGCATTATACATTACTTTCTCTGAACAGATTTTTTACTACTCTGGGAGTTCAGACAATTAAAATCAGTCCCCAAGGCTGTTGCAAAAAGGCCATTGCAAAACTGTTGTTCCTATATGTAAATTATTTTATAGCCGCTTCTAACTAGTGGGTTTTATATATATTTTAAAAACAAATAACCTTCGCTGACAGATGCATCTGTAATTCATAATATGTTAAGCAGATTTTTACTCTGTGTCCAATATGATACCAACTACAAAGATGACCAAAAAGTCATGATACCATTACAATATCTAGTAAGGAATGATGATATTTTTGTTTGTTTTTAGATAATAGGGTAGCTGAAAAATAAGAAAACTGATCTAGTCATGGAGAAATGGAGTAATGAACATCGAGCTGCAATTGTGGAACTGTACTTCTCGAATGGAAATTCGGTCGTAGCAGCACAACGGCAGTTTCGGGAAAAATTTGGATTACGTGATAGTCCATCAAAGATGTCCATATTGCGCTATGTTTCTGCGTTTCGTGGTACAGGAAGTGTTAAAGATGCACAAAGAAGTGGACGGCCTCGAACAGCGCGAACGGTTGGAAATATGGAATCAGTCAGAGAAGCGGTGATCAGGAGCCCTAAAAAATCTGTGCGACGGCTGTCTCAAGAACTTGGTCTAAAAAGAGAGTCTGTGCGAAAAATACTAAAACGGGATTTGAAATTATTCCCTTACAAAATCCAAGTTACCCAACAGTTATTGCCTACTGACAAAGTGTCAAAATCAGCCACAATCAATAATGGCGCTGAAGGACAATATCCAAGAGGCTGTGCAGTTCATTCCAGCCAAAACATTCAGGAAAGTAATGGAAAATGTCATTATTCGATGCCATGAATGTGTAGACATACAAGGAAGTCATCTTTCTGTTATTAGTTTTAAATAGTAGTTTATTTCATTTAATAAGAATGTAACAGCAAAGTCTGTACTTTTGATTTTTTATGCACTGAACACTGTCTTTGAAGAAATAAAGTAATTATTATTAAACTAAATGGTATCATGACTTTTTGGTCACCTTGTATCATAATGGAGTTCATGGACATTGACTATATAAATAAGGTTTGGTTTTATATTTGTATGTGAAGAAACACGAGTGTCTATTGTTTTAATACCTAAGCTGTAATTGAAAACTACCACTTACTTGGTTGCCACTTACATATGTAATATATTTTGCTACAAATTATGGCATATATGAATTACAAAATGTAAATTCACTGATCATTCATTCCTTTTACATAGAAATCTAGATCAAAGCCAATGACTAGACAATATTGCTCGGACGTGCATATTTTAGTGCTAAGTGTGTTGAATATTGTAAGCATATTGCAGTTTCACATAAATACTGCAATGCATCTTAGATGTCTAACGTTTGTACATAAAAAGCTTTGTTTGAGTTAATACTTGCAAAGAATGTACAGCACCAAAACAGGCCATTCAGCCCAACCAGTCTGTGACAGTGTTTAGCACACAACTTGTTTCTATTATTTTGTTTTGTATCCAGTTCCAGAATAAATTATCAATATGTCTCAATGTCCAAATATACCAGCTTTATTATTTGATAAAGAGTTCATTTTCCACAGTTGTTTGTCAGCAAATACATGACCATAAACTTCAGAGTATCTTTCCCAAATAGTGTTTGTACAGTTAGAACTAAATGCTCACTGTTTAAATTGGCCAAACTTGCTTTTTAAAAAAATATAGTTTTGATTAATTTTTTTTATTCCTATCTCGCTTAGCTTCCACCCAGTTCAGGAATCCACTCTGTGTCTGTAAAGCACTTTGAGACATTCTCTTACATGGAAGGCATACTAACAGTGCAAAAACAGAAATCGCTGGGAACACTCAGCAGCTTCTGAGATAGTGGAGGCCTTATGTCTGATCTTCCAAATTTCCTTGGATTCTGGAACAGTCCCCATGGATTGGAAGGTCGCAAATGTCATACCACTATTTAAAAAAGGTTAGTCCAAAAGATAAGAGCCCATGGAATTGAGGGGAGCATATTAACGTGGATTGGGGAATGGTTAACGGGTAGGAAACAAAGAGCAGGGATAAATGGGTCCTTTTCAGATTGGCGGGAGGTGATTAGTGGAGTGCCACATGGATCAGTCCTTGGGCCTCAGCTATTTACCATCTACATCAACGATCTAGATGAGGACATCGAAGTTAATATACCTAAATTCGCGGATGACACAAAACTAGGAGGAAGTGTCAACACAGAGGACGACATTAAAAATATGCAGCGAGACATAGATAGGTTAGGTGATTGGGCAGGTTGGTGGCACGTGAAGTATAATGTAGGGAAGTGCAAAGTCATCCACCTAGGTAGCAAAAACAGTAGAGTGGGGTTATTTTTTAGAAGGGGAGCGATTGGAATGTGTTAGCGTCCAGAGGGACTTGGGTGTCCTTGTACACCAATCACAGAAAGTTAGTCTGCAGGTGCAGCAGCAATTAGGAAGGCGAACGGTATGTTAGCATTCATTATGAAAGGATTAGAGTATAAGAGTAGGGAAGTCTTGCTGCAACTGTATAGGGCCCTGGTGAGACCACACCTGGAATACTGTGTCCAGTTTTGGTCTCCTCACTTAAGCACGGATGCACTTGCCTTGGAGGGGGTGCAGCGTAGATTTACTAGGTTAGTACCAGGGATGAAGGGGTTGAATTACGAGGATAGGCTGACCAATTTGGGCCGATATTCTCTAGAATATAGAAGAATTAGAGGGGATTTTATAGAAACCTATAAGATCATCAAAGGGCATGATAGAGTAGATAGTGGGAGATTGTTTCCCCTGGTTGGAGAAACTAAAACCAGGGGTCATAACCTTAAAATCAGAGGCCAGCCCTTTCGCACTGAGTTGAGGAAGAACTTCTTCACTCAAAGGGTGGTGAATGTATGGAACTCACTACCCCAAAGGGCTGTTGACGCTCAGTCCTTGAACATATTCAAGACTAAGATAGATAGATTTCTTATTGCAAAAGGGATTAAGGGATATGGGGATAAGGCAGGGTCAGGTTATTAGCTGGAGTTAGATTAGAAGATCAGCCATGATTGAATGGCGGGGCAGGCTCGAAGGGCCGAATGGCCTACTCCTACATGATATATCAGGCAGCATCTATGGAGAAAGGCAAGTGAGTCAATGTTTCGGGTCCATGACCCTTCGTCAGAACCCAAAATATTGACTCACTTTCTTTTCTCCATAGATGCTGACTAACCTGTTCAGTGTTCCCAGCGACTTCTGTTTTTGTTTCAGATTTCCAGCCTCTGCAGTATTTTGTTTTGTTTATTCTAATAGTGTAAACTGTTATTGTTACGGATTCAGTTTCACCTGCCACATGCTAGAATCCCATTATGTAAAAAAATCAATCTATTCTTTGTTTGGTGATGGTCTTTAATTTATGCCCTTGTGTTACTGACTAATTAATTAGTGGACATTGTTTTCTTTACCCTATCAAAACTATTCATCAATTTGAACACCTCCAATAGATTTTCCTCTTTAACCTTCTCTACTCCAACGAGAACCATTCCAACTTTTTACGTCTCTTCACATAACTATTATCCCTGGCATCACCCTAGTGAATTTCCGATAATAGATTATTCACAAATATTTCAACTAGCCTGGCAGAAATAAGATATAAAATCGCATTAGTGACATTGTTAAAATCTATTCAAAAAGGGATATTGCATCTTTAATGGGGACAAGGCTATTTTAAGTTTCGTACTTCTTCATTTTTGAAATTCAACATTTGAATAGCATATGGTATTCATAGCATGAGATTGTACTCCCTGTTGGTGTTTTATTTCTCGAAACAATAAAAGCAGTTTATTGCCCTCACTTTGATTCTGGCTGCTTCTTAATGGGAGGTTGCTCACGCTGTATAAAGCATCATCTATGACAAATAAGTCAACGACTGGTCCCTGATTAAATATGTGTCCCTATCCCTTTTCCCATGCAAGATGAATGGCTCAATTTTGAAAAGATTTATTTAGGAAAACAGACATTCATTCTCAGTGTATGTATTTCTTTACAGTGCCTTGGAAAACCTATACAATCATAGAATGATGCTTCAACAACTAAAATGTTCGACATCTACTCTCAGGCCACAAGTGTGCTAAGGAACACTCTATGCTTTGGGCTTCATTGCTGGTTTATCAGTTGTGTTACTGGTCAATTCAAATAAGACATTAGGATTATATGCATCTGGAGTAACCAATCTGTGAAATATTTGACTTTCGCAGTTGAATAAATTACACCCATCATTACAATCTCAGTACTTGGATAACTCCAAGCAAAGACTGCAGGCGTAGAGCATTCCATGCACATGTGTGGCCTCAGAGCAGATGGCATATATTTTAGCTGTATAGTGTTATGAATATAAAGATTCTTTATGACATTATAAAGAGAACTGAGCCATGTACTTTTGGCTCGGCCAATTTATTTTTCTAAATATCAAATTACATAATCTTTAAAAAATTGTGTCATTAATCTTGCATGGGAAAATTCACTAGCATATATTAACATTAATCAGTGACCAGTCACTAAAGTATGGGTCACAAATGATGCCCGACAAACAGAGCAAACATCTTACATTAATGAACAGTCAATGAACACATCGAAACAGAGCAGTTACGTTTATGATTTCAAGGATAAAGCATTAGCAGCAAGTCAATCTTTTCCTGTGAAAGAAACAGGTCTCACCTCTTAGGGAACACATCTAGAAAGGCCTAAGGAATGAAAGAACAATTCCTAAGAAATAACATAAGCTAATTTTTAAAAGTTGATTTTTTTTCCCTCTCCATCCTTTAAAACTGGCTCTAGAGTGACATTTTTCTACAACCAAATCTGTGCAAGTCATTGATTGTAATCAAGCACTTACTAATGCTTTTCCCATCAATAATTTGTTTTATTGAAAATATTTTATTTCTTAACATTGTAACACAATATGATCAGATCTTCATTGGTGAATCAGCTGTCAGGATGCAAAAAAAGTAGTAGACATCTTCTCTGCATAACCATGAATCCAACTTTCCAGTGTTAAGACAGGGATTATAATATTGTGCCTGTAGTTGCATTTGCTCCAGAGACAGTTAACAACCATAGCAGTAGTACAAAGAGGAATGATTCCATTGTGTTCAATTCAAAAAATAGCCCTGTGATTCAATAATCAATTGTTACATGACTTTTTTGTTGCTTGAAATAGGGTGTACCAATTAGGAATACCTGTAGTAATGCGAGGTAAGGACTGTAGGCATAAAGTATCGGGGAATGGGGAAAGGGGCAGGTAAACTGAATTGAAAGAATTGCTCTGAAAAGAGCCAGCAACGATATAGCGGACCAAATGGCCTTCCTCTGTGAAGTATATTTCTGTGGCTCTATGGTGCTAGAAAATTATGCTAGTGTAAGACTGACTAGTAATTTTCAGATAGATTACAAACCTGGAACAAATATTATTAGCAGGACTGAGCTTGGGTCAGATGTAGGAATGCAAATGACTCAAAACTATGTATATCTTAGAATGTATCCTATGCCATTCGCCCCATTAAATCTGTATTGTTTTTTTCTCCACATGTAGCACACAAGCTAATATCCCTTATTTTCAAAAGTCAATCAAATTCCCTTGTAAAATAATCTAAAAAGAATCTTAAGACTACCTCAGCTACATTTTGTAACAGAGAACTCTACATTGTCAGAACAAGGTTTAGTTATTCTTTCAATGAATTCATGGTAAATGCATATAATTCACAAATGGAATCACATCAAAGCATTGGCCAAGGTTGTAATGATCCTTATATTTGATATTGGACCTTATTATGTTGTAGTGACATTTGAAAGTGTAGCAACTGCTTATTTGTAAGTGAATGTGGCAGTCATTTTGTTCACAGCAGTGTCCCACAAACAGCCATGAAGTGAATGACCAATTTTATCTGAGGGATTGTTGGCCTGGATACCAGGAGAAACTCAATTCTCTTTTCAAATAGTAACACAACATCTTTAATGTCATCCAGAGCAGGCAGACCAGACCTCGGTTTTAACGTCTGATGTGAAGGACAGCACCGCCAACAATTCGATGCTCCTGAAACCCTGACTGATTTTCCCTCCCTATCCCACGTGTTTCTGAGACCAAGTGTAACTCACCAGTTTAGATAAATCAAGTTACATTTGGCAGACCAGGCATTTGCGCTTGGTCTTTCCTGGACATTATGGTCCAAGTACACATTGAGCAGAGGCTTCACCAAATAAGCCACTGATAAAACTTTGTTATTCAGTCAGCATTGAGAAAAAAAAACATGAAATTAATTTAACAGCAAAGTTTTGATAGGTGGTATTGAAATGAAAATAGCAAAAACTGTGCTATCATTTAGCATTAAAAAATGAATGTAATACAAAATATGTTTGGTAGAAATCATGTACGTGATGGAGTTCGCTAAGTTATAGAAAAATAATCTTCAGGCGACACTGCTTGGCAGACAGAGCCTCAGTTTCTTTTTGATAAACCACTGAGCTCAGTTATTCATTTTTCCTGCTTGCTGTCTGAGCATTCAGTTCCGCTGAGTTGTCTCACCAGCAGGAGTTGACTCCTGAATCATGACTTCCAGGTGCTGCCCGAACAAGAAGATAGCAGTTCTGTTTCTAATCCTGTAAATGTGATATTTTTGTTGTGAACAGAACATCCTGTCATTTGCAATTGGCCCATCAGCTGTGAAAATTGTATTCGCTGCTGAAAATGTCATTATTGGTGAATGGCAAACAAAAGGCCTCCATACAAAACTTTATTTCATACACCATTTTTCAGGAATATTCGTTCCCATAACAATAGCTCTAGAACAAAAATGTGTGACTAGTGATTATCACAATGACCACTGAATTCTACTCTATTAAGTCACAGAAAAAACTGTTCAGCCAAAATCCCTGTCCTTTTTTGATTGTTTATCCACTGCCCCAACTTCTCATTATATCTCTCAGTCGCTTCTCGCTCCAGAAACCAATCTAGTTGCCTCTTGAATCAATATATACAGCACTTCAATTGTCTTCCTTTATAATTTATTCCACAAGTCTATTGCCTACAGATCTATAAAAAAATGCTCACCCTCATTTCCCTCAGTATGATCCACACTCTCATGTTCAAATCCCTTCACTCTCTGGCACCTCCCTACCTCTCCAACCTCCTCACTACTCAATCCACCACCCGGCACCTCCGCTCGACTGGCACCAGCCTCCTGCTCGTCCCTCGCACCCTCCGCCCCACCATCAGAGGTTGCACTTTCAGCCACTATGCCCCAAAACTCAGGAACATCTCCCTCAATCACTCCACCTTGCCCCCTCTCCCTTTTTCAAGTCCCACCTGAAAACCTTCCAATTCGACTGTGCTTACGGCCACCTCCCGGCCCCCACCAGCTCGGAGTGAGGCTCCACCACTGTTAAGTGCTCTGAGACACTATCTTGCGTGGAGGACACTATATAAGTGCAAGTTGTTGTGGTTGTTACTTCTGAACTTAATTCCCTACTTGTGTACCCTGGCATTTGAACACTATAAAATTTGAATTATGCAAAATTACTGCATAGAATTCAATACAGAAAACAAGTGCAATTACACCTATAATACTGGTCATTTGTGTACTAAATATCCCATTCCATCTAAAGCTGTTCACAATGTACTGCCAATTAAGTTTCAATTCCATGTTACCTTATAAAATATAAAGTAATAGTTTTCATACTTGGTTTCATGTAAGTTGTAAACTTAGCTCCACTCCTATCTCTGGAAAAAAGGTTACATGTTCAAGCCACATATCAAGACTTGACATCATGCTCCAGTTATGTATTGAGCACCACATTATCAGAGCTGCTGTCCCTCAATCACCGTTAAGGGGGAAAATTAAAGATTCCATGACACTATTAATAGAATTTCTCCTAGTCTCCTGACCTCAAAGCCTCACTAACCATCTACGAGGCTCAAGTTCAAGAGTGTGATGGAAAACTCACCACTGGCCTGGATGAGTGAGAGCGGCAAAAGCGACATTTGAGAAGCTCCACCATTCAGAAGGCAGTTGACATGCTCGGGACATGTCACTCAAGTCAAGGTACACTCCCTCTCATCGCTGCACACTGGCTGCAGTGTGTAGTATCAACAGAATGCACGACAGCAACTCAACAACCTTCCTTTGACAAATCTCCCAGCCCTTCCACCTACACCATCCAGGAGAACTGCGGTTTCAACACTATCACCGCCAAATCATTTTCTGACTTGGCCACATATTGACCCCCATCAACATTGGGTCAAAATCCTGGAACTTCATACCCAACAGCATTGCGGTAGCAAGGACTGGTTTAAAGAGGAGGTTTAAAGAGGAGGCCCACCATTACTTTCTCAGGGCAACCAGGGAGAGGTAATGAATGCAGAGATGTCCTGCCTATATCTCAAGAAATCCATGTGAATTGATCATTCACTTCATGACTGTTTGTGAAACCCTGCTGTGTGACAACTGGATTCTGCATTTGCTGCAAATACAGACATTTCATTTGCTATAGGTGCTATATCTAATGCAAGAGTTATTACTTTGTTGGTGCAATATTTGAAGTAGCCACAAGAAATAGAGAGAGGGAAAACAATTGAGACTGAATTCTTCTCAATCTATGTCTTGTGAAAAGAACCACACAAATCTAAATATAAATGCTTAAAGAAATAAAGAAGATAAACAGCATTCAGGGAAATCTAAACCAATTACGCAGGTGGCCTAAGGAGGAGCAGTTGGATTTGAATGGAAATAAATGTAAGATAATGTTTATTGAAACAGTAAACATGCACACAAAGAAGGATGCACATTAGCAGAAATGAAAAATGAGAAAATATTTTGGTGTGTTTGCTGATCACCCACTGAAGGTTTCAGTCAATTTCAATCTGTCAAATACAGAGCTAATCAAATAACAGGTTACATCTCAGATGCATGTGACAAGCCAAATACGTTATTACACCTTTTATAGCTCACTGGTGAATCCACATTCATAACATTGCAGTTTAAAAAAATGATGGTTCATATCAGTCATAGGAACTCCATTAGCGGAATGAAGTTATCAGCAGCAATAAACTACCATATAAAGATATGAAAAATGTAGTTCCTATTTTGAGTAGGAAATACACATTGTTGAATATTTGTAATTCAGGATGACTTCTTCTACAATGTCTTAACTGGATGTCACTCTTGTATCATATTGGTTTACATGCACTAGGTCCTCAGAATGTTTCAATATTAGAATTCAGAGATAGTAAGTTTACTGTCTAATATACTAGCATTTCCAATGGCAAATTTATTATTTTCTGTGCCATAATCTGTGCCACAGTAAAAATTTGTGAAGTGCTTCGAGCCATCTCAACAATGTGATAAAGCGCTGTGATAACTCTTTGCTCACTGGTTTCCCCAGATCTTCCCTACACAAGCTGCAGACTATCCAGAACTCTGTGCCAATGCCCTTTCCACACTGGCTCTGCAAGCCCACCAGGTCCATCCTCGCTTTACTCCAAATTTGAATTGTATAGCCATACAAGGATTATATTTATAGATTTGTATGTACCCAGTCCAGGGCAGGTAATCCCATTTTGAGTTGTGAACACTGGTTTTCCTTAAGAGGTAAAAAAAAAAACACCTCATCAATACTATATTCAATTAGATGAATGGAAGAAATTTATGACTATTTTTATTATACAAAAAAATATTTTGTGAGTCCTTCCTTGAAACTATATAGACCTACCACAGCTACATGTATAGATACCAGAGGCATCTACTGAGATTCAATGAAGACAACATTAAACCTTAAAGAAGCACCTTTTTTCTTTTTCTTTTATCCTAGGAAAGACTGTTCTGTTTTTTAATAAATTAGCTGCAATTTCTTTAAGAATTTGGATTTCTTTAGTGCTTTCATGATTAACTGCTGTGTGCAATTGGCAACTGATTTCGACCACAAAATAAACAGTCAATTCACTTTACAGTATATTCTGTGATGCGCTTTGGGGCGTTTTGAAGAGGTGATAAGGCGATATATCAAACGCAAGTATTATTATTATTTATAAAGGCCAGATAAAATGACATTTCCTCGTTGTCAGCACCTCAAGGAATAACCAGTTCAGGAGTATCCAGGGCAATAAATGTTTTCAATGTTGAATAAATTGGCAAGACTGTAAAGTGATTAGGAATATTGTACATGTGAACATAGGATCTTCTATGACCAGTTTGAAGAACCAACTAACAACCATTTTCTTCACATTATTCAGTTCTGAGAGTGAAAAATTGAAAGAAAAATTGTGAAAATCGATCACTTAATACATAATATAAGCACTCTGAGGCACTACCCTAAATGGAGAGCGCTATGTAAGTGCAAGTTGTTGTAATATTAATAATAAATGATAATCCTTGCATTTGATATAGCACCTTTCACATTGGGAGGATATCTCAAAGAGCTTTTAGGCAAACATACATTTAAAACATACTAAGTCTATGGTATTGTCAAAAATTGAACAAGATTTAAAAAAAACAATGTAATTCCTAGTTGTTTTTTAAAAGTTTATTTAGTCACACATTTTAAATAAATATGCACAAATAGTATTTGAGTAGATGGGAATCTTAAAGTAGATATCTGGGTCATATTAAGAGTTTACTGTGAAATTAAACACACATAAAGCAAAGTATTATGAACTGGTGATCTGTTTGGTATTTCTTCACTGGAAAGAGAAGCTAGCACTGGGGAGTCCTCCGCACCACTGACTGACAAATTTCAAAACATCTTGACATTCTGGACTGTGAGTAGTCTTCAGATGGAATAAAGCACATAGTTATTACAAATCTGTATTGACTGCCTTCGCTTTATACCTAGATATACTAGTTAACCCGAGCAGCATTCGCAAACTGCCAATTCCAATTTCTGGATTATTACTCAAATTGCAGGATTCTCTACCAAAATTTGTGAAACTAAAATTGCCAACTGCAAAGCTGGCAAGAGTCATTAGCATAACAAACACTCCATTTTAGGCCTCATTATCTAAAATTTGCAAACTAACAACTTTATATGATTTCTCACATTTATGGAATCTGGAAACCCAACACAAGGTCCATATATCTATACTAAAAACATTACAGAAAAAGATGTTTTTTCTTCTCTGCGCTCTAATTTTCCACACAGGCACATGTGATATACAGGCAAGATTGATGCAGGCCTGAATAGATCTATTGAATCTATTAAGAGTAACTTGAAAACAAATTAAAAAAACAAAAAAAATTTCATATGTTTGGAAATTACAGTGCAGCCCCGTTATAATGCAGTGACTGGGATCCAAATAAAACCCCAGCCCAGGCTATAATGAGGTGTGATAGCTGGTTTCACTAGACATAGGTGCAACTGGCAGGCTTGCTCTCTATGTGCCAACTAGGTCCTGCACTATATATATATATATATATATAAAAAAAACGTTCTTGAAATCATTGCCTCTTGTGCTGCACATGCACAAAGTATGAAGTGATGACGCCAACAACCTGATGACCTAGAAATCAGAATACACGACATACTAAAATGACTGGCCTCTGGCTATCAGATATCTACCAATGTCATTTCCTGTGCATAAGAATTGATGTTGGTGACAACCTAATAACCCGAAGTCAGCATTTTTGCATGTTTGCATGTGAAAGGCATCCATACTGCAACCTTGTTATAACCAAAGTTGCACTTCAAAGGCTGCACTGTATCTCAGAAGTCTTCCATTCTGTTTTATAATTATAGTTTACTGTACTTTAGTTTAATAAAGTCTTTCAGATTACTTTTGAAAGTATGTTTTTAAACCATAAAGATGCATTGGGAATAACCTTATAAAATGACTGTTCAGAAGCTTTATCGGTGCAATAACTGAGGCCCTATTATCAGTGGCTTTTTTTTTGTAAACATTAAAAGTAGTCACTTACTTTCACTGCCATCAAGAATTTGTTCCAGTCATCTTTATTTGCTGCTTTGCCAGGTCTCTTGAATTCAATTTTGTTCCGAAGTACTGGGTAACCTGTAATATCACATTAAATGTCAAAATAGACAGTTTAACAGACAAAATGTCCTGAATTTTGTGAGGTATTCTCTGATTTAAGAATCATCATGAGAAACAAAAAAAACAATTTCTCCTTAGCTGTTGCATTATACATTTCTGTGTGTGTAACTTCCCGAATGCACACAATATTTTAAATGTGGTCTTACCAATGAGTTAGTTATTATAACATGGTTCAGTCTACAATCAACATCCATCCTAAGTCTGTAACTTTAATAGTTTCATGTTGACTGGATTCTTTCAAAAATAACATCCAAACCCATTTCTTTTTCTTGTTGTATAATGCTAATAGACACCACGTGATTGTGTTCCTTTGATTTATATCTTCAGTTCCAATCTTTATAATATTACATTTACTTGTCCATCCATTTAATTGATGCGGATCTCTTTGAGTATTGTTAGCCTCTCACTTCTTTCATTGAGTCATGCAGCTTGCTGTCAACAAATGTTATATCAATAAAAACACCTTTCTCTACTTAGTATTTGAATTCACTGAAGAGATCAATGACAGACAGTCGTGAAGCTCCACCATGTTATCTATGTCCCACAGCTAACGCTTTTGAGCAGTGTAACTATAATCCTGCCCTTCATTTGAATGAGGTTAGCAGAACTGGATAGTGGCAGGAAAAGTATTTTCCAATAAATACATAAAAATTAAAAGTAAAACATTTAAATAACATTTAAATAATTTCCTATTTACAGAATAGACTTAGCATTTTAGCACCAAGGCACAAATAGCATTAATTTCTCTCCCTCTCCCATCAATTTATTGTGATTCATAAAATAAATACCTGTTATTACGCAGGGAAGAGAACGAATACCAGTACTAACAGCGACTAAAGAAGCTTCATAAGTGTCTCGTTCATCAGTTGGTAGGACCTGCTCAACTCTCTGATCCATGGATACCGTGAGGACCCAGTCTCGGATTTCCTCACGCTTATCCTCCTGAAAAGGGGAAAAGAATGACACAAATGACAACTATGAAGTGAAACAACAACAAAATTACATTTGTATAGTGCCTTTCATGTCATGAGGACTTCCCAAACAAAGGCTACCCTGGAACAAAACCATTGCTGGAACGATAGGTGGAAGGTCAGCATTTGCACTTTGTCTTTGACCACTGGTATGATCCCAGAAAATCACAGTATTACAAAATAACAATAATTGCAATACAGTTACAAAAATCTCATACTGAATAATGTTCTGATGAACAGTATTCTAATACAGTTGAAGTTCTAGTTAAAATTTTTGACAGAAACTTTAAACTAGAAGTAAAATATCACCCTCAATATGATTCCCATTAGAAACATTCAGCTGCAGTTACAATTAGCATGTTATCCCATATGCTGTAATTCATCAATTCATTTACACAGGTTAAAAACCACAATACACGTGAGACCAGATTACTGGTCTGAATAACCTCAATTATATTTAAGGATATCGTTTGTAGCCAGTTAGTACATTGGAAAATTGAAGGGCAAACAAGTTCAGTTAAACAATAATGGACAGTTCACTTCTGTAAAGGGATCACTTCCAGAAACAAAGACCGAGTGGGTGCCCTGTCAGAATTAGTAAATCCAAATGGAGTTATTTGAAATCGTATGTCAATTTAGCTAATCCTGCTCAGACGGTCAACATTGTGGACGATACTTGTGACATTTTCCTTTTGAACTTACCAGAACATGCTGTTTTACAGGCACTGGGATTTCAAATGGAATGTCTGTATCTTGAAAATCAGAATGATCAAGTGCATCAAGATTTCCTTCTTCGATTGCCTGTAAACATAGCACACATCACTAAATCACCATCATCTTTAGACAGCATTTGGAGATTATTAGATTGACAGTGTAATGACTCTCAAACAAAAAACTAAGGACGCTGAAACCTCCTGCTCCATCAGTCTTGTTTAACTCTTTCTTGCTGTAAGGAGCGCAAGAAAACTATGATGACCTCCCAGGAGTCGGTGCTTGAGCCTCTATGATTTTTAATCCAGATCAAAAGTCTGGATTATAGATACTAATGTAAATATTCAAACATGCTAATGCCACTAAAACAGGGAGAACAGCAGCAGATGGCGCAAGTGAGACACAAAACCACTTAGATCTACTGTGTAATTGTGCAGACAAATGAAAACGTATTTTTAACACTAATAAGTCTGGAATTGTGGTCAAACAAATGTGCATCATAAGTATACAATGAAAGGGAACAAATTGGCATTGGAATATCAAGAAAACATGATCTTGGAGAAGATGGTAGACTCATATTTTCAATGTCAGGAACATCGTGAGGTAGTTTAAAAGCAAACAGAATACTGGCATATAGCCAAAACAATCAACAACAACTTGCATTGACAATGCCAGCAGAAATACCAGAGCACTTACATCACTGAGATCCAGGAACCGATTCAAGAATATGAAAGCCATGTTCTCCCAACCAACGGCCTGTTTCATAGGGAACAAATTTGTGTCAAGTTAGTTTACTTAATAATAAACTACTAGGCGATCAAAGCTGCTTGAGATGCCAAAAACTGTTGTTACATGGTAAAATAAATATATTTTCAGTAGCTAATACTCTTACATAATTTTTATATGTCTGAATTCTCAAAAACTATGTTGGGCACTTCAGGTGTTCAATATGTATTCTTGTGGGCTTCTCAGCAAAGTATTTATTTGGGTCAGCCAAGTGTCTGACACATGTGGATCCCATTACCCTGCTTAAGAGTACCCACACCAGACAGAGTTCCACATATGTAGGTCACCTACAAATGGAAATGTCCCTCCATCTCAAATGGAATGTGTACACTCTCCCTGGAACTACCTACTTTGCCTATCTAGTTCTGGAAAGTAATACGCACAGACTAGTGAGAGTCTGAGGATCCCAGAGTACGTGTTGAAGTACTGCTGGAATTTAACCAGCTAATATCACAGAGCTTTCTTGGGAAAGGAAGCTTCCCACTGTGAGTCCAGTTAGGACCACTCTAAGGCTTTGGCTTTCAGGGTTAACAGGAGCCAAGTGGCAAGAATCTCTGCCCTCAGTGACTGGTCTACTCAGGTTATTAAGTGGATTTTTGGCAATCTCATATATTGATTACCATTAATTACAAAATCACAAATAAAAACAAACTTGTCACACCTTTGCTGCCATCCCAGCTTCATAAAATGCTTTATCAGCAGGGATGGTGTCTGTGTGCCGTAACAAGGAGATTGACAACTTTGCTGCTGTGATGTCCTGAAAAGCAAAAACATTTAAAGTTTAAAAATATATCAGGCAAGAAATAATCCACATACTCTAACCCACCCAATATCAGTGATCAGCAGTTTGTAGGGTTATTGTCCCCTCTTGAATTTCCATGGGAGATGCCCTCCAGTGTCTTGTTGTGTCAGATTGAATCGTGCGGTGAGAAAGTTGCTAAAGCCCTACTCGCTCTGACCCGAGGCAACGAGCGAATCACAAACAGGGAGTTGTGACTGATGATCAATGACTACACGTCTGCGACACGAATTGGCCAGATTGAGGTTGTAAAGCAGTGTTGAAATACAAAATACTGGGCAATGTGGCTGGATTAACCAGCTGATTACACTTTGGGGTGACCACAAGATCAGTTTTCATCCAATCATGTCTTAATTCATTCTATTTTCTCTGATATTTTTATTAACCATGGTGGTGCACTAAATAATGGGTCTTAACCCTTAACCTAGTGAAAAAAGACACTAGTATTTCATGCTGTAAACTGCTCTAAACATCCCAATCTTAGTATGACTAGAATAAAAGAAATGGCCTTTCTTTCTTAAAATCTAGTGTTACAAGCCAAATTTCTCCAGACCAAAGCAGCATGTGCTTAGCAGGGCAGAATACAGGTCAGCAAACGCTATACATTCTTTTTAAAATAATTTAAAGATTGTCTTCAAGTGCTAAGGAAAACTAGTTCTACTGTGCCCCAAATCAGTGATACTGAGAACAAATCCTGTCAAGTCTATTCACACAGAATGGTGAGCTCACCAGTTGGTTGACTCCCAGTGACCCTGCACGAGTGGCATAATAATGTACAATCAATAGCATCTGCTCAAACTCTTCATGAGCTGGAGAATTAGCCTCAGAAGATTTGACAAGGTTTTCACACTGAAACACCAAAAGAGAGAAAAAACACAGAAATACTAGATTTACAACACAAAGCACTGGCACTTCAAAGAACAGCCTTATGTATTACAATATACATCTGTAATTGATAGAATTATTGTACTGGCCAAATTTTACTGGTAAGGTTTGAGGAGGTTTACATTATTAAGTTACTAAAAATATCTTCCTCTCGTTTCTAGCTAAGTTTATATCATTCTCACCAGGTTGAAAAGGACATCGCGAAGATCAGCCCAGGTCCTGTACGTATCTCCATTATTCATGTCAGGCATGTTGACAATATCCGTAAAAATCCTTTTGTATATGTTGAAATTCTACAAACAAAAAGGAGGGTCAAGTTGATCACAAAACCAAAGCGTAGAGACTAGCTTTTAAACTTCAGATCCCTTGATAGTTTTCAACTTTCTATCCCTTGTCTATCCCTTGATAGACAAGCGCTCCTGGACGCTACCCCATGTGAAGCGCGCTACATAAATGCAAGTTATTGTAGTTTTAGTATACACTATATCTCACAAAACACAATGCTGTTAAAAACAAACATTTCACGAAAACGCACAATGTAATTGAGATTGATTATTGTAGTTACCTGGGGGTTTGCAGGAGCGCCATGCTGAACATAGAGATTTAAGGCCTTTTCTGTGTTACCTTCCTTGATGAGATGCGTAACATATAGTGCTACATACTTATGGAGAATCTTGTAGTTCTGATAAAAACAATACAGGTGCTGTAAGTACAGTCACACTTTTTCAACATTCAGTGCAAAAAGTGTTTTATTTACACGTACATATGCAAGAATTTGGCTCCAGCACTTTCCTTTCAATACATAGATCTGAATTTTGCAAACCTCTTTACTAAATCAAAACTAATATTTTTAAATAAGCAAAGAAAGTGGGGTTAATGCTTGTAACTTTCCAAGTTACCACCCTAAAAGAATAAGACTTGAACCTGCTGTTCAAACTGCACCTTATTAAAAATAGAACCAGATGAGCATTATTCAATATAAACAAAGCAGCATTTGATTCGGCAATAAGACTTTTCAAAATCTGTTTAAACAAGTGAATGGTGTCAATATCACAGCAGTCACTAAATCATTAGGTGTCTTTTTTCAGTAATACAGGACATTCACATAAATATATTCCGCTATACCTGCTTATTAGCAGTTTCAATGCATTTGTCCCACTGTCCTCTTTCAGCATACATGTCAAGTGCTGCCATCACATCCACTCCAACGAGCTGAAAGAAGTATGAAGAAAAATAAGAAAATAACATTCAAGAGGAAATACCACAGTCAGGTATATCAGTTAAAGACAAACTAGACTGCTCACCAGATAATATTGATTTTGTCAAGTCTGGCAAATACAATAGAAAATTACAGTTGTATAGCGCTTTTCACGTCAGGAGGACATCCCAAGGCGCTGGATTGTAAATATTGTAAATGACAGAATTTTACAAAAATGTCTCTAAGGCATCTTCCTTTCAACATAGAAATGTCAAAGAATAGTTTACTGGCATCAATCTCCAACACAGAGAGACGTTACTATCATTTTATTTTATTTCATCAAAAAAAAAGAAGCTTCCAGCAGTGTTCTCCTCACAGACAGACAGACAGATTTCCGTGAAGTAGGAAAGCTGGGTCTTGGCCCTGAAACAGAACAACCTAGTTTAAATGACCTGACCTAAACTGAGTAAAATATCAATTAAATGAAGTCTTCATCGACTGGATTAGGATGCAAAAATAATAAAGTTTGGTGTTGGAAACCATTAAATATAAAAGATTTTGTCAATTTGAGAAATTTGAAAAAGTGTGTCAATACTTTCAAAAAAGACTTTGAAACATGAAAACATCAATTAAACCATGAGGATTATTGTAACATAACATGTATGAGCAGGAGTAGGCCATTCGGCACTTCGAACCTGCCCCGCCATTCAATCATGGCTGATCTTCTAATTTAACTCCAGCTAATAACATAACCCTGCCTTAACCCCATATCTCTTAATCCCTTTTGCAATAAGAAATCTATCTCTCTCAGTCTTGAATATGTTCAAGGACTGAGCGTCAACAGTCCTTTGGGTAGTGAGTTCCATACATTCACCACCCTTTGAGTGAAGAAGTTCTTCCTCAACTCAGTGCAAAAGGGCTGGCCTCTGATTTTAAGGTTGTGACCCCTGGTTTTAGTTTTTCCAACCAGGGGAAACAATCTCCCACTATCTACTCTATCATGCCCTTTGATGATCTTATAGGTTTCTATAAGATCCCCTCTAATTCTTCTATATTCTAGAGAATATAGGCTCAAATTGGTCAGCCTATCCTCGTAACTCATCCCCTTCATCCCTGGTCCTAACCTAGTAAATCTACGCTGCACCCCCTCCAAGACAAGTATGTCCTTCCTTAAATGAGGAGACCAAAACTGCACACAGTATTCCAGGTGTGGTCCCACCAGGGCCCAATACAGTTGCAGCAAGACTTCCCTACTCTTATGCTCTAATCCTTTCATAATGAATGCTAACATACCGTTCGCCTTCCTAATTGCTGCTGCACCTGCAGACTAACTTTCTGTGATTGGTTTACAAGGACACCCAAGTCCTCCTCTGGACGCTAATACATTCCAATTATACTTCATCTGCCACCTACCTGCCCAATCACCTAACCTATCTATGTCTCGCTGTATTTTTTTAATGTCGTCCTCTGTGTTGACACTTCCTCCTAGTTTTGTAGATATATTAACTTCGATGTCCTCATCTAGATCGTTGATGTAGATGGTAAATAGCTGAGGCCCAAGGACTGATCCTTGATCCTTGTGGCACTCCACTAGTCACATCCCGCCAATCTGAAAAGGACCCGTTTATCTCTACTCTTTGTTTCCTACCCGTTAACCATTCCCCAATCCATGTTGATATGCTCCCCCAAATTCCATGGGCCCTTAACTTTTGGACTAACCTTTTATGCGGCACCTTATCGAATGCCTTCTGGAAATCCAAACAGACCACATTCATTGATTCACCCTTATCTAGTTGACTGGAAATATCCCTTTTGTAAAGCCATGTTGACTTGGCCTAATTATATTGTGCTCCCCTAAATACCGCACTACCACATCCTTAATCAATGATTCTAAAATTTTTCCTATCACTGATGCGAGACTAACTGGCCAATAGTTCCCCATCTTTTCCTTTGCACCTTTTTAAAATAGTGGTGTGACATTTGCAATCTTCCAATCCATGGGGACTGTTCCAAAATCCAAGGAATTTTGGAAGATCAGACATAAGGCCTCCACTATCTCATAAGCTACCTCTTTTAAAACCCTGGGATGCAAGCTATCCGGACCAGGGGATTTGTCACTTTTTAGTGCTAACAGTTTCCCTAGCACCAATTCTCTACTAATGAAAATTTCCCTAAGTTGCTCCCTGTCCTTATCCCTTTGATGCATCTCTACTGTTGGCAGACTTGTTGTGTCTTCTAGGGTGAAGACAGATGCAAAGTACCCATTTAGGGACTCTGCCATGTCCTTGTCCCCCATTACAACTTCTCCCGTCTCTGACTGTAGTGGACCTACATTTACCCTCACTAGCCTATTCCTCTTAATATATTTGTAAAAACTTTTACAATCAGACTTAATGTTCCTAGCTAGCTTACCCTCATACTCCTTTTTCTCGCTCTTAATGAGTTTTTTAGTTTTATTTTACTGGTTTCTAAAACTCTCCCAATCTTCAGATTTGCCGCTTTTCTTGGCAGTTTTATTAGCCTTTTCTTTTAATTTGATGCTTTCCCTAACTGCTCTAGTTAGGCATGGATGAATTGCTTTCCCTGTGGTGCTCTTATTCCGCAAGGGAATATGCGACCGCTGAGAATTTTGCACTACATCCTTAAATATTTGCCACTGTTGGTCTACATTTTTACCTCCTAATCTTATTCTCCAGTCTATCATTATCTTTTTCCTGGCACAGTGACAACTGTAAACTGCTGATGACTCAAATAACATTAAAAAAGATTATCATCTGATCTGATTCTGTTCAACCAAACTGAAAATATTCAGAAGTGACAAACACATACTCACACGTACCAATGCTTTAAGTTTCCTATTTATAATCCAGTTAAAAGTTAATATTTCACAAATAAACAGGTATCAAATAAACCTTTAGGAACAGCATCTTATCTATCTGCTAGGGACCCTACAGCCTTCTGGCCTCCATATTGATTTCAGCCACTTCAGACCATAACAGCTCATCATACCCCCCCCCCTCTTTCTGTTACCAGAAGAGTTATCTTCTGTTATCATTACAATCATCACCCCAGACACTCTTTGCCTCTCTGTTGTGTTGCCTGTTCTGCACTATTAACACCTATTCTCCGCAGTTTTGCTTTAACCCACCGCCTCCTTTTGTTGTACAACTACCCCTTTTGTTTTACACTATTATCACCTCTTTAACACTTCAACTAACACATTCTCTCCTTTGTCTTCTTTTTCGTCCTTTTCCTGCCTCCCCCCCTCAACTTGTCCTTAAAAACCTCTCCCTCCCAACATGCCCCAGTTCTGACGAAGGGTCGTGGACCCGAAACGTTGACTCACTTTCCTTTCTCCGTAGATGCTGCCTGACCTGCTGAGTTTTCCCAGCTCTCTCTGTTTTTGTTTCAGATTCCAGCATCTGCAGTATTTTGTGTTTTGTTCAAATAAACATCTAGTGTCTTTCAGAATTGTTCCAATCCTTTCTACATCCTTATGAAACATAATCTGGTATGAATTTAATCAGTAAAATATAAAAATTATAGATTTTACCGATTCCACTTTGCCTTGATTTTTCAAATATTCCTTGTAACGGTGATCAACGTAATCTTCATATCTGCATAAAAGTTAACATCAGCAGTAAAATGTAAGTAGCAGACTATTTTGATCATAGTACTTGATACAAATTGAAACCATTTTTGAAAATCAACAAAGTTACCTAAAAAATTATTTTAATTTTGACTCAAAATAATCTTTGGATTTGATGTAGCTCCTTTCACATCAGGAGGACATCCCAAAGAACTTCACTGGATATATTGTAAAGTGTTTTATGGGTGAAATGCGGCAGCCAATTTATGCAAAGCAATATCCACAAACAGCCGTGGAGTGAATGACCAATTGTACTTGGAGAATTGTTGGCCAGGACACCGGGAGTAACAACCTTCTATTTTCAAACAGTGCTATGGGATCTTTATTGTTCATCTGAACAGGCAGACCGGGCCTCAGTTTTATGTCTTGTCCAAAGGATGGTACCTCTGATCATGCAAGGTTCCCAGCACTGCTTGGAGAGTCAACATAGACAATATAAGTTCCAAATCCCGATGTGGGGTTTGACCCCACAATCTTCTGACTCGGAGGTGAGAGTGCTACCAACCAAGCCAGAGTGACACAATGTACGAATAACTAGATATATTACAATTAAAGTTCATTGGGCTAAAACATTTTGTTAACTTGCAGATTTGGTGTTTTTTGAGTTTTGAAGACATGCAACATAAACAGAACACTGGTAACTATAGCAATTGCAAATAACTGGTTCTTATGAAGGGCATGATCAGTTTGCAATGTTTTGGGCTCTTAACAAGGAAAAAGCTGCTCTAATGATCTTACTGCATCCCCACTGAAGTGAAGGAAAACTATGAGTTTAAGAAAACAAAATGGAGATAACTGGTGTTGCAATTGTAGAGGACTATGCACAATTATGAATTGTGATAATTATATGAAATGATGCAATGTAATTCCTTTATAACGTTGTTCATTATAGCATGAATTCTGTTAGAATGCAATTGACTATGGACCCCATTCACTGGGCATGCATACAGCCACCCTGTTCGCTTGCAGCGTATTGGCCAACTTTTCATGGAAACATTACCAAATTCTGGGTAACCAGATCATTGCGACATCACTTCCTGCTTAGGTAGATATCCACAAAACAGGAAATTATGTTAGCAGTCACCTAATGTCCTGATGTCAGCTGTTTTAGATGGCCAACCTTTGGCTCATCAGGTCACTAATGACATCACTTCCTGCTTTTCTAATGCAAAGTCGACCATTTTTCCTTTCAGCAAAAGAATAAGCTAGCTCTGCTGTGCCCATGTGCAGTCCAGACAACTAATGTGCTTTTCTATAGTTGGGAATTTAGGATCAGATTTACCGTGTTACAGTGAGACTCCAGTGCATTTGTATACAACCCTTAACAGGGTCATAAAGCTTTATATCCTCATGTGTGAATGGCATCAGTATCAACTGTAAAGTGTGCCGCTGTCTAGATGTCAACTGTGATACTTCTTGGTACCAGAGAAAAAGTAAATATGCTGGATGTAAGACTGCTCAAAACTGATGCCACAAGCTTCACGGTATTTATTATTTTGTAAAGCATATAAAAATGATTTAGAGGCCATAATCTTATCTCTGGATTCAGGTGACAGTTATAAAAGTGCTAGAGCTTCAGCATCATGGTTCATCACATCTTATATAACCCTCTCTTTGTCATTACTGCCTTCTAATCACTGATTCTTCTGCACGTATTGACATTTCATACCTGGAATCAAGCTCCTTTGCCACACGTTTGGCTTTATTCCATTCTTCCCCTTTTATGAAACAATCTATTGCTTCTTTAATAAGATCCATATTAAGGTACAGTTCAGCTGCCTAAAAGGCCACAGAATTAAAGGTTTATTAAGAATATACTGAAAACTGTCTGAAATTCAATCCATGAGTGGAAACAATCACATATCATGATTAATAATGGTAATGGAAATAAAAGTTAGAAATGGGAAAAAAAATGAACATTGGACATATCTGTCATTTATGCATGACATTATAGAAGAACATCATAGTTGCATGTCCCAATTAGTTAGTTTGAGTATTTTATAGTTTTGAGAGTGTGGGAATTCAAAGCTATAATGTTTGTTACATAAAATATTTCCTTGGTTAGATTTATGCCTTTCTGGGTTGGGGTGATTGTAGTTTGCAGCTTAATTTTCAGAATCGAGTCAATCCTTTAAGGTGGTTCCTCAGGAGTCCACTTCCTGAGTCAGGCAGGGCGACAGTTCTCCAAGGCACTCATTACAGACCATCCAGCCTAGAACATCAGCAGGAACAGGCTGGGGCAACAGCTACCTGTCAATCCGGAAATTAATCTTTTTTTTAAGCACAGTAAGCCAGTTCATCAGCATCAGGAGTGGATCCACAGGACATTAGTGATATAAGCAAAGGCAGTGCGTGTATCTGGAATCGGAGGGGGCATTATAATGGGGTTTCCTTGCTGTATACAGTCCAACTTGCATAGAATCAAACAACATATTAATCTTAATCCATACCGCACTGTATTTATGGATTTCAACCAGTCGAGGCCCAACTGCCTGAATAACCTCAAGAGTTTTGTCCTGGCTTAGGAATTTGATGGATAGTTCAGCAGCCTAATGAAATAGTATACAAAAAAGAAAGTGTTAACAGGGATTATTTAAGTGGCATTTGCAAAATAAATAAATAATTCTCACATTTAATATAATGCCTTTCACGTCTGGAGAACATCCCAAAGCGCTTCACAGGATTTACTATAAAATGCAGTCAGGACACTGGGAGAAACTCCCTTCTGTTTCTGAATAGCACACCAAGACGCGAAGGGCATTAAATAAATGCAAATTGATGTTGTTTTACAATAGTACCCTGGAATTTTTAAAGTCCACCTGACAGGCAGACAAGGCTTCAACTCATCCTAAGGATGGTACCTCCAAAATGCAAGGCATCCCTATCACTGTATTAGAGTCTCAGCCTAGAGTATGTGAGTTCAAAGTCTTGACATGGGGTTTGAACCTACAACCTTCTTCCTCAAGGATGAGAATAATACTAACTGATCCAGGGTCATAAAGCTTAAGTAAAGACTTGTTTGAGACGAGGCTTATTGTACCTGAATAATACAATATTTTGACAAGCTAGGCCTACCATTTTGGTTTCTCTTAATGAGCAACATCATAGTAAATATATTATTTGATATATATTATATGTTTTACCTTCATCCAGCACTTCTCCATCCGAGCCAGATTGCTGGTCTCTTTGACTTTAAGGTAACATTCCACAGCCCTGGCATATTCTCCTGACTGCTCCCATTCTTTGGCTTGTTCAATCAACCCTTCAGCTCCCCTGTGATACACAGTCACCAAGTTAATAACATTTATATCAACAGAATGTACACTAATGTCCAAATAAATAATTAACACAGGCAGAACCAAAGGAATAATGACAGTTGATCATAATCACAAAAGCATATGATCTGTTTAAGTAAGGACACCACAAACTTCTGCAATTTGTACAATGCATTAAAAATTACTTGTTACCCTAATTTCTCATCACCTTCGTCATTCTATTTTACACTACGTGTGTGAAAAGCTCCCTCATAAATAAAGTTGTGCATGACCCACACTCAAGAAAAAAAATGCCATACAAATGAACCTTTGTGTAACCAGGGGGCAGTGTAACAATAAACATGGTGTCTATAAGAAACAAAAGAGACAAAAATACTGACCAGGACTGCAACTCTAAATGATAACTTGTACAGAAACAAACCCATGTATTGCTTGTAAAAACTGACTATAAAGACAGACAGTTACACATTATACAGCTATTTTACCCACATTATACCCTTCTTAGTTGCTTCTTTCTCGTATTCTGTTTGTAGCTGTTCCAGTTTGCTGGGGACATATTCCTTACAAATCCTAATCGCTTCACTCCACATTCCAGCTTCCTATATTAAAAAGATCCAAATAAATAGGCTTCAACATATCAAAAGGAAACTGAATCCCTTGTTTTTCAACTATACAATTGTGTAACATCTAGGAAGATGAATCAATGGTACCATTTCTAAATGGTATCACACATCCTTGCCAAGGCTTACTTCAAGGCAAAAAATACAATTCAGAACTTGCTAAATATATGACTAAAATCTAACATTTGATAGGTTCCAGCTGCACAATTTAGTCAGATAATTAAATTAGAATATCCCAGACTCAATACATCATTGATTCTGAGTTAGCTGAACTTAGGCTGGATGTTAAAAGGGGTTGCTTTTCGACCGCGCCTTTGGTCACCTTCCTCCCCCTCCCCCTGGCTCGGCCCTGGGATCTGTTACTGTGAAGCGCTCTGAGATGCCGGCAGTGTGGAGGGCGCTATATAAATCGAAGTTGTTGTTTTTGCTTCAATGTTCCTGAGCCAGGGAGGAAAAAAATAATTTCTCTCCACTTGCCCTATTGTAAAGTGTGCATGGATTGTACCCTTCCCCACTCATGACACTAACAGATCATCCAGAATTTGACAAATTCGAAACTTCAGTCTTGATTTTGAAGCTTTTCCACCCCCCCACCCCATCAATTTTTTTCCACCTGCCTCTGTTTACCTAGGAGTAAGTAGGAACCCAGTTCTTAGTCAATTGGCTGATCACATTTCCGGGGGTAATAATTACTTTAAAAAAAAATTGGTCACTAAATTCACGACTGTTTGTGGGACACTGCTGTGCACAATTGGCTGCTGTGTTTCGCCCACAAAATATACAGTCAAATTCACTTCACAGTATATTCTGTGAAGCACTTTGAGACATCTCGAAGACGTGATCAGGCGCTATGTCAAATGCAAGGATTATTATTATTATTATTAAGAGCTATAGAAAATTCATACAACTTAAATAATAAAAACAGAAAGAGCTGGAAAAACTCAGCAGGTCAGGCAGTATCTATGGAGAAAGAAAAGTGAGTCAACATTTCGGGTCCACGACCGTTCTGATGAAGGGTCGTGGACCCGAAACCCTGACCCCCTTTCTTTCTCCATAGATGCTGGCTGACCTGCTGAGTTTTCCCAGCTCTCTCTGTTTTTGTTTCAGATTCCAGCATCTGCAGTATTTTGTGTTTTGTAGAACTTAAGAAATGTCTTTCAGTTGGAATGTCCTCAAAGTGCTTAGCAACAACAACTTACATTTATATAGCCCCCTTCATGCGGGGCAGTGTCTGACCGCTGGACGAGCAACTGAACTGGGGTGGAAGCTGAGGGGGGTGGGGAGGGGAAAGATGACTTGAAAGTACAGTGAAAGAGATACACGCCTGATAATAATCCCTCAAGAAAAAAATAATTTGGTCACTCAGTCCACGGGTGGGACACTGCTGTGCGCAATTGGCTGCCGCGTTTCGCCCACAGGATATACAGTCGATTCACTTTACAGTGTATTCTGTGGAGCGCTTTGAGACGTCTAGAAGATGTGAAAAGCACTGTATCACATGCAAGGATTATTGTTATTATTATTTTGAGACTTGCCTTGAACGAGGGAAGGGAGAGCGTGAATCAGCGAGTTGGAGGGACACAGAATTAAGTTTTTTAATTAATTTAAATTAATAAAAAGATAATTAAATTCACTTAAGACTTATTTGAACTGTTTGCCAAATGTTGAACACTCTGAATGCTAAGAAAATAGAAAATAGAGTAAATCAAGACTCGGGTGGAATTTCTTCCCCAAATAGAAAAGTTTCCCATTATAAGTGCCATAGGCAAAGTCTTAATGGCAAAACAATTCTTTCCTTTAATGTCCTGGTATGCAGATAAAGATTAGCACCATGGGCACAATCATACAGATTGATTAATCACCATCAGCAGGAGAAATAGAGAAAATTTGCAGTTGAAAACTATTCTGATTTTTGAAGTGGATTGATGCCTGTAATCCTGGTGTCTGCTGTGAAGCTCTGCAGAAAACTAAATGTTTCCCCTAGGGAGAGATAGAAATTAAAGGAAGATACCACACTCTGCTTTTGTGCAATTCCTTGCAGTCAGTTTCAGAGCAGGACTGGCATGGGTTCAAGTTGCCCACCTTCTTGGCCAGTTGTCAAGCATGGAACAAGGAGATCCAAGGCAAAAGAAAAAGTACCATAAGAAGAAAAATCACAAATCCAAATCTTAAATATAAAGGACTATGATTGTCCCCATAGATAAATATTGGGCTCCATAATCCAGGAGGTCATAGAACCATATCCAAGATTCACTCTAGCCACTGCAATTAAATTAAAAGGAGAGAAGAAAAAGAGAATGAAACTAAAGAAAGGGAAAAGGGAAAGCACTGTAATCCAATCATTCATGCAGAAGAACAACATACAGAGCCTAATTTTGCCATGGTTTGTCCAAATTTGGTTATCCTTTGGGTTTGTTCGCTCTTTGATGACTGCTAAATGGAGAACTTTGCATTGTAAACTATTCTATCAACAGGCAGACACTTAAACAAAAAATGAAGAGCAGCAACACCGAAGATTCCACAAAGCCGGTTTCTTACTAACTCATAAAGTTGGTTTGATTGATATCATTCAACCCAGGCTATGTTAACTTCTGGCTGAAGGAAAGAAGATAGATAAGAGAGGATAAAAAAGAAAGGAACAATGGACACAAATAAATACATGAGAAACAAAATATGCAAACTGATTATAACATAAAATGATGAATGCAAGTGCCGCAATTTAATTGTAAGTTGCAGATAACTAAATGAAGATTATTATATTATTATTATTATATTAAATGAAGAATGATTTGTTTTCTAGCAAGGAAGGATATTGATGTATTGTTTACATTTTTCCCATTCAAATGGTTTCTTAAAGTCTGGAATCAAGTTTCACAGAGATAAGTTTGTGTGAACACCTAGGTCATGAACTCAGAACTCCAAACTATTTTTAAGCAATTTTTGCAATGGTAAAACGGAGTTGACCTTGTAATACTTGACAGCCAATTCCGGTTTTTGTGCTCTTAGAAGGAAAGCTTCAGCCTTTTGGTATTCTTTCTGTTCAAAGGAGAACCGTGCCTGGCCAACCAGGACATCAGCGACACTCTCGGAGTCATGAGCCTCTGCCACCCTCTGGGCTGCATCCCAATCCTGGTTATGTACATACCTTTCAAGAGTAAACAACAATGTCAAGATAGAGAGGCTATATATATCACACAAATGCGAGACAAAAGAAAGCACCAAGAGTTAAGGAAAAAATCGTATGCAACAGATAAATGCTCCAATATTTGTATTTGGTAGATTATTCCAAACATGTATTACTTTTTAATATCAGCTTTGAAACAATTGTTTGCTTATTTAAAATAGCTGTTCTCTTGTCCTATTTTTCCGATTCAATTTGATGCAATATTCCAGCCGTATTCTAAAATTCTCATTATAACATGCATCAATATAACGCTTATTTGTGCTTGTGATGATTACTCCTAACATTTTGTCACCAAAATATCCCAAATCCCATTATGCCATTGTCACACTCCAAATTGTGCCTGAAATTCCATGGTCACGCTTCAAAATGCGTGATTACATGATTTCAAGTGATTCAAATTGACAGAATTGGTTGGTTTTCTCCACATGATGCCACTTTACCTGAAGAGTCACCCCACTAATGTGGTCAGTTTTTTGCAGTCGTTTTCATTTCAACATTACGGTATATAGTACAGAAATACACACTCACTAGTAACGTCAATCTGCAAATGTGATCAAAATTTATTGGTCTGTTTGCTGACATTATTAGTGAGTTTCCAATGCAATTCCAGAAACAGTTAATTTTTTTTTCTTTAGTTACCACGCTATTTTTATGTTGTAAGCGTTTCATCTCAAATATTCCAGCTTCATCTGTAAATACTCTTTTACTGTTATATTAGAAGATTTACTTCTAACTTACTTTGCCAATTTTCAACTCAACCCTTGTTGCATTTCCAATATCTGTTTTAATCTCTCTCAGCACATTTCAATTCTCTTCTTTGTGTTTTCCTTTTTTTAAAGCCTTCAGAGAATTAATTAATTTATTTTGGGGACTGGCTATGCAATCTATATTCATTTTCCTTAGTACCATAGAGAGCCAATTATCTACACTAAGTGGGGCATTGCGGATAAGCAACAGGGAGGATAATTGGACAGAATACAAAATACAAATTAGCAACAGTGCTAACCAGAAAGTGGTTCCATCAGCAGGTTATAGTTGCACTGTAGTGGCACACAGTTCTCTCCGGTCTCTCTAACTATCTGTCTATCTCTTTCTGACCCTAACCTTATACTGTATAAAAATAACCCACTGTGCAAAACTTACCTTGTGAGACTGAGATTCTCACTATCAAGAATCTGTGTATGTGTGAAGATCACAAAATCAGTTTGAATGAAGTAGGCTTGTCAACCCAACTAATCTCATCCCTTCAGAATATCCATCCTAATGTCCCCCCACACAGAATCAATCTACTTCTTAAATAAGTCCAGTGTTCTGGCCTTGACTACCCTTCTTGGCAACCTCTTCCAGTCGTCAATTAACTTCTGAATGAACAAAAAACTCTTGGTATTTGTCCTGAAACTGCCCTTTACAAGTCTAAACCTTTCATTCTACTATCTTGGGGCATCCTACCTAAAGTATTTTTATGGGTTTACTTTTCAATCCCATTTAAAATTTATACCTCTATGAAGGCTCGTCTTCTCTCAAGTCACATGCAGTTGCTAAGAAAGCTTCTCAGATTGCCTAGATCACTTGCCTAACAACCATCCACGCACATGTGCATTCACACAACAGGCTTTTTTTTTGCCAGGATCCCAGCCCCACATCCATGCCAAGACCCAATGAGGATCAATAGACATGTGAACAAATAAACAACACTCTATTATGTACATTTGCTTTTCATGTGTCATATTTAGAACTATTCATTTGTTCACTGTGTTACTCTTCAACACTTTCCAGTTAATATTTTGTTTATCTCTCATTCCATTAAAGTTTGTAGTTAGTGGAAAAAGAAATTCTGCAAGTATTTTGACTCACATAAGGACAGCCTCCTTAGGTTTTGCTGCTTTAATGAATTCAACTTCTGCCTCATTGAATTTTCCCTAGAATCACAAAACATTAGAAATGTAGTCTCTTCAACCAGACAGAAACATCTTATTTTTTTTCTTTCAGCAATATGACAACAACAACAAAATTACATGTGTCTAGCGCCTTTCACATCGGGAGGACGTCCCGAGGCGCTGGACACTCAATGTTTTGGACCCGAGCTGGGGGCCGGGAACAGGAAGGGTAGAGGGCAGGGCGGAAGGAGGGTGATCAAAGGCACAGTCGAAGAGGAAGGTCTTAAGACAGGTCTTGAAGGAGGCAAGGGAGGGGTGAGGCGAAGGGACTGCGAGATGGAGTTCCAGAGGGTGGGGGCAGAGTGGCTAAATGCCCACAAAAATATACATGACATGCCACAGACTATAAGGTTTACACTTAACAGATGTGCAACCAAATGTTGATGCATTGGTAAAGACTGCATACATCACCGTTCTCATACTGTGAACTCTCGCATGTACACTCAAACCTTCTTAGAACTGCACTTTTTTTTTACAATATGTTACCAAAGTTTAAGAAAATAGCACTGCAGTAAAACGTACCTTGTGAGATTATTAAGTAAAATAATTCCAAAAACCTGGGTTTGAATTTTACCTGGTTAAAAAAAATATTACTTTCTTCTCACTGACAGATAAAAGTCAAATTTGTGTTTGTTTCTGGACAGTCCATGTCCAATTCTGAATAACTGTATTCTGAACCAAAAGGTTGATAAACCGTGGAGTTATTAATAATATAAAATGAATAATTTTTAAACTTAATAGTCTTTTGCCAGCTAGTTTAGTTGCCAAAAATGCCTGTAGCATGTTATTATTACCATGAAATTTATTACATCAAATGGTATTGTATTATATTTAAGCTTTACTGGATTAGATTAGAAGTAAACACATCAGTAAAGCTTTGTTTTTTGGGGGGGTGGGGGAGGGGAAAGGAGACTAAAATACATGCTAGTTGTGAGAATGACTCACTAACAGGAGCCTGAGATGCATGCACTTGTTGAAGCAGTAGAAATTACCATTTAAAAGGAAAAATATTTTTTAACAATTGGATGAAATCAAAGATTATTGTTTTCATGACTTTACATCGCAATAAATATGGATACATTACTGATTGCCGATCTGCCTCCATTTTGTCTCTCCAAATGTGAAAATGTAAGTAAAAATTTATTTTAAAAGGTAAAAATCTAAAAGAATTAAATCAGTTAAATCATCAGTACCGATGAAAATCAGAGAAAAAAAATCAATGTCCATCAACTATAATTATAGTACATTAAATGATGCATACATTAGTAGAAAATGTTATCAAGATATGACATTACAATGACATTTAATTGAATATTCACAGAATAAAAGACTTACCTCATCTTCCAGAAACATGGCATGTTTGAGATGAATATCAGGGATTTTGTGTTTCATAGATAACCGCGCCAGTTCAAATGCAAATTCAAAAGAGCTGAAATAGAATTTTACCACAGAGCAAGTAGTTACAGGAAATGTACACATAGTAGTTAGATGTTTTCTTTTTTAAAAAACTAGGCTTTGACTGATAAATGGAGGAATACTAAATTCTAAGTTTATTTTGAGGTAAACTTTCCTGCAAACTCAATTCAAAACAATTTAAAAAGCTACTTGAAAAGATTATTGAGCAACATCATAATTTACATTCCTGGCTATGACCAACAAAGACCATTTTCAAGTTTTATTTTATGTTGAATCAGCAATATTTTTTGGATATGATTGATTTGTAATAAATGGCAGTGTAATCTGCTATTTTAGAATTGCTCCTTAAAGTATTCAGCCTATGTATTCACATTCATGTGTCCAGACCACGCAGTTCCCAAGAAGCTCCTTTTTAATAAGTATAAATAAAAGTTTATAAATATTCACCCATAAATATACAGTCAATTCACTTTACAGTATATTCCCTGAAGCGCTTTGAGACATTTTGAAGACTTGAAAAGCGCTATATCAAATGCAAGTATTATTATAATAGGTTAAAAAATATTTGCTCTCTTTTAATTTTTTGATTAAGTACTTTTCTGAAGAGAGAGAAATAGATGAGGTTGTGTTGACCTTTAGTGCAGGACGAGGTAATGCATTTAAAAGTTCACACTATCATTTGTTTTACAGAGTATCTTACCAGTTGTCAGCTGCATAGTCAATTGCAGTTTCCAGAAGGCCAAATTTATTCAGCAGTTTAACTGCAGATTCACCTCCCATACTCTTAGCCCACAAGTAAGCCACCTGCTTGTGGGCATTTGCACCTCCATGAGCCTTTGAAACCTGTAGATGTAACAGGGATTTCTTGAATTCAAACCTTTCCTCTTATATCTTCATCGCTTTTAATAAAATAAATTGGCATATTTCTGCAACATGTTCTTTGACGTATATGTGTAAGAAAACAATAATATTGTACAAATGTGATTGTTCTACGTGCACAACATCAGAATCGCAAGATATTCCATGCATACTTCTTAACTTCCCGTTATCCTTCACTAAGTCACTGCTTTCACGGTAGTCCCAGTTTAATGTGTATTTACTCCTCAACTAAATAAAGAAAATATAATCATTGGATTTAATATAGCACCTATTAAGTCGATAATGGTTCAAAGCAGTCTGTAAAGTTGACTGCAAAGTGTAGCAAACTTGGCAGTCAATTTTCACACAGAAATTTCCCATAAACAGCCATGTAAATGATGAATTTTATCTGGAATATGTTTAGCCGGGACACAAAGAGACACTCTCCTTCCCTTTTGAAATAGTGGCATGGGATTTTTAACATCCTCCTAACAGTCAGATAGAACCTTATCTCAATGTCTTATTGGAAGGGCAACACATCTGATAATACCATGCAGTTTTCTCGTTGGAGTTTCAATCTAGACTATGAGTTCAAAGTCCTGACAAGGGGCTTGAACCCAAAACTGACTCAGAGGTTACCAACTTAGTGAGATTGACACCTTAAATAGGCTTTTATTCAATATTTCTCCAACAAACCAACTAGCTTTGATCTTCATTTTAACAACTTTCAAGCAGATGGACACTGGCATTAAGTCAGCTGTTGAGGAAAATCACTGAACATTGTTCTTTTGAAAGTTTCCTATCATGTTGATCAATACGGCTATTGATTTGTCTTTGTGCCCAATCTGACTGTGCCTTTTGCAATTTATACTGGAAGTGGACTGCTGCGAATGACTATCTAACTTAATGTCCTTTGGAATACTTACCTGGCCCACATTCAAGACTAACTGGACAGTCAGTTTGATTCTCATTCAGCAAGAACTGAATTTCAAGTGAATTCAATAGGTTTAATGTCCAAACACCAAATTTTGGCCTCCCCCTATGCCAGCAGGCTAAGCATGCCCCATTAATACTCTGCTCCAAATCTTGGTGTGTGTGTTTTGGCTGCCACCTGACCTGAGCTGCCACACCCCCAAAAAATGCCGGTATCTCTGTCCTGTATTACTCTCACTCACTACTTTTCCACCCCATCCTCCTTGGCCTCCAACCCCCCCTTCAACCCACCCCTTCCCAAATCCAACCCCCAGATTGGGTGCAAACCATTGTCCAGCACCTTAGGACGTCCTTCCAATGTGAAAGGCGCTATATAAATGCTATTATTTGCTGTTATGGTTATCATATTCTGAACAGTCTTGTGAACAAAGGGCTCCCTATCAATCACAAACTCAATCTGTGTGTTGCTGTAACCAGGATACTAAGACTCCCTAAACATAGAAGCAGTGATTGATGCAAGGTGGAGACTGCTGGAATTGTGATACTTTCTTTAACTTTCTTTGAGACGTATCGACGACATGATAAGGCACTATATCAAATGCAAGGATCGTTATTATTATTATTACTCAATAAGCTACAATTTACTTAATAAACTGCCTCTGTCGCCACACATTACATGTGTGACAAAAATAAGTGAAAATTTTTACCCTGTATGCTTCATCCCACATGTCATTGACCCGATACATATTCACTATTGCCTTCCATTCTTTTGCTTCCAAGTAATGGTACTCAGCTTCTCGAAAACGACCTTCACTTTCCAATTCCTGAAATACAAGCAATTAAAAAGACCATAAGACGTAGGAGTAGGAGTAGGCCATTCAGCCCCTCGAGTCTATCCTGCCATTTAATAAGATCATGGCTGATCTTCTAAGCTAATTCTATTTACTCGCCCTATCCCATATCCCTTAATCCCTCTATCCTTTAGAAATCTATCAACCTCAGTCTTGAATATGTTCAAGGATTGAGCATCCATAGCCTTCTGGGGTAGAGAATTCTACAAGTTCACTAACCTCTGAGTGAAGAAATATTTCCTCAACTCAGTTTGAAAAGGCTGACCCTTAATCTTGGGACTATGACCCCTAGTCTTAGATAGGAGGACGTGTCAACACGGAGGATGACATTAAAAAATGCAGCACGACATAGATAGGTTAGGTGATTGGGCAGGTAGGTGGCCGATGAAGTATAATGTAGGGAAGTGCGAAGTCATCCACCTAGATAGCAAAAACAGTAGAATGGGTTATTTTTTAGAAGGGGAGCGATTGGAATGTGTTAGCGTCCAGAGGGACTTGGGTGTCCTTGTACACCAATCACAGAAAGTTAGTCTGCAGGTGCAGCAGCAATTAGGAAGGCGAACGGTATGTTAGCATTCATTATGAAAGGATTAGAGTATAAGAGTAGGGAAGTCTTGCTGCAACTGTATAGGGCCCTGGTGAGACCACACCTGGAATACTGTGTGCAGTTTTGGTCTCCTCATTTAAGGAAGGACATACTTGTCTTGGAGGGGGTGCAGCGTAGATTTACTAGGTTAGGACCAGGGATGAAGGGGATGAGTTACGAGGATAGGCTGACCAATTTGAGCCTATATTCTCTAGAATATAGAAGAATTAGAAGGGATCTTATAGAAACCTATAAGATCATCAAAGGGCATGATAGAGTAGATAGTGGGAGATTGTTTCCCCTGGTTGGAAAACTAAAACCAGGGGTCACAACCTTAAAATCAGAGGCCAGCCCTTTTGCACTGAGTTGAGGAAGAACTTCTTCACTCAAAGGGTGGTGAATGTATGGAACTCACTACCCCAAAGGGCTGTTGACGCTCAGTCCTTGAACATATTCAAGACTGAGAGAGATAGATTTCTTATTGCAAAAGGGATTAAGAGATATGGGGTTAAGGCAGGGTTATGTTATTAGCTGGAGTTAAATTAGAAGATCAGCCATGATTGAATGGCGGGACAGGCTTGAAGGAACGAATGGCCTCCTCCTGCTCCTATGTTATGTTATTCTCCAACCAGGGGAAACAGTCTCACGGCATCCACCCTGTCAAGATCCTTAAGAATCTTATAGGTTTCTATAACATCACCTCTAATTCTTCTATATTCTAGAGAATATAGGCCTAGTTTACTCAACCTATCCTCATGGGTAAACCCCCTCATCCCAGGAACCAACCTAGTGAATCTACGCTGCACCCTCTCTAAGGCGAGTATGTCCTTTCTTAAATAAAGAGACCAAAACTGCACCCAATATTCTAGGTTTGGTCTCACCAAGGTCTTATACAACTGCAGCAAGACTTCCCTACTCTTGTACTCTAACCCTTTTGCAATGATCCCCAACATGGCATTAACCTTCCTAGTTGCTTGCTGTACCTGCATACTAACTTTTTGTGACTGGTATACAAGGACACCCAAATCCCTCTGAATACTAACACTAGCTAGTCTCTCCCCCTCTAGAAAATAATCCACTTTTCTATTTTTACTATCTAGGTGAATAACTTCACTCTTCCCCACGTTATACTCCATCTGCCACCTTTTTGCCCAGTCACCAATCCTGCGTATTTCCCTTTGCATTCTTCGTGTGTCATCCTCACAGCTTACTTTTCCACCTATCTTCATATCGTCCACGAATTTAGATATGTTAAGTTCTATTTCTTCATCTAAATCATTGATATAGACTGTAAATAATTGAGGCCCAAGCACTGATCCTTGTGGCACTCCACTAGTCACATCCTGCCAATCTGAGAAGGACCCATTTATCCCTACTCTCTGTTTTCTTCCTGTTAGCCACTCTCCAATCCATGCTAATATACTGCCTTTAATTCCATGGGCTCTAATCTTATGCAACAGCCTTTTATGTGGCACCTTGTCGAATGCCTTCTGGAAATCCAAATGCACCACATCTACTGGGTCCCCCCTATCTAACCTGCTAGTTATGTCCTCAAAAAACTCTATAAGATTTGTTAAACATGATTTCCCTTTCGTAAAGTCACGTTGACTCTGCCTAATCATGTCATGATTTTCTAAGTACCCCACAACAACGTCCCTAATTAAGGACTCTGGAATTTTCTCCACCACCGATGTCAGACTAACTGGTCTACAGTTCCCAATTTTTTGTCTCCCACCCTTCTTAAATATTGGCATTACGTTTGTGACCTTCCAATCACTGGGAACCATTCCAGAATCCAGGGAATTTTGGAAGATCAAAAACAAAGCATCCACTATCTCAGCAGCCACCTCTTTTAAAACCCCAGGGGATTTATTGGTTCTTATTCCTATCAATCTCTCTAGTAATATTGCTTTACTGATGTTCATTTCTTTAAGTTCCTCACTAACATTAGCTCCAGGTTCCCCTCTATTTTTGGTAAGCTTTCAGTGTCCTCTAACGTGAAGACAGAAGCAAAATAATTGTTTAATGACTCTGCCATTTCTTTATTCCCTATTATAATTTCTCCTGTCTCTGCCTGCAGTGGACCCACATTCACTTTGATAAGTATCTTCCTCTTTATGTACTTGTAAAAACTCTTACAATCTGTCTTTATGTTCCAAGCTAGTTTACTCTCATATTCCATTTTCACCCTCTTAATCAATTTCTTGGTTTTCCTTTGCTGATTTCTAAAGTCATCCCAAACCTCAGGTTTACTGCTCTTTTTGGCATTATTATAGGCCTCTTCTTTTAATCTTTCCCTAACTTCTCTAGTTAGCCAAGGTTGAACCACTTTTCCCGTGGTATTTTTAGTTGTCAAGGGAAGTGTCACTTTCCACAGTAATGTCAAACAATTCAGAGCACTAATCAGCATAGCTACTTAGTTTATTACATTACGCTATGTCACAAACTATCATTACAACTATAAAATCATAGAATGTTTGTTTTGTTATGGACTATCTATTTGTGTGCCACCTTATTTACTGGGATTCCTTACAAACTGATCTATTCCCCCGTCACCTTTTTCAAGGTCCATCTCAAGACCTACCCCTTTGACCACACCTTCAGTTCTCTTTCTTCTACCCACTACCCTCTATTCCCACCCCCAGCTCAGGTGATAAGCCATTATCGTTTAGTGTCTTGGGACATCCTCCCAATGTGAAAGGGTTTGTATAAATGTAAATTTGTAATACAGGATAAATGGTAGCCCACATTAAGTATTTTACATCACAGGTCCCAAAGGTTAACTCAAAATATACATTTATGCCCAAAACGCTGTATTGCACATCCGCAGTGAAGCTATACCAGTAATATTCCTTAAAGCTAAATCTAGAGCCTAATAATAATTATTAGGTCAATATTGCCTACCTTTGCAAGGTGCAGGTGCGTGTCTGGGAGCAGATCATTATGATATTTTGCAACAAGTCGAATCATGTCATCATACATCTTAAGTTTCTTATACATTGTGATGGACAAATCAGGTTGATCAACTGCAACATATAACCTGCAAAGAAACAAACATTTTATTCGCATCATGGAATGGCATAAGCTAGAGCACGCTCAAAAATAAAATCAGACAGCTTTTAGCACAGAAGATTGGAAGCAAAAACATAACCTTTGAATTACTCTATGGCTAAGGAGCTCTGGCAATTGGTTCACACCTCTAACTACAGACTATAGGTGTATTTCACAGGGATATCCAATATTAGATGTTTTTTTATGGAAAAATAGAATGTGTTATTCAGTTCTCAACTACCCACATCATGGGGTATCTCAAAATAACTTGTCTTGCTTCTGATGTAGTAAACACAGAAGCACATTTACAGAACTGCAAACAAACATCTTTCAAATACAGGGCAACACTCAGAATGGTTGGAGACAGACATCCAGTACAAAAGGTGGCCATTCAGTCCATTGGGATAATACTGTGTACCAATTACCCATCCTCATACTTAGGAGGATTTTCCTACGAGGGAAATTTGAGAAAATTAAAAAGTATAGTGATGTTGAGTTGCACAGAAACTACTATACACCAGCTGTACCTTTCAACTTATTTAACTCAATTTTAAGTCCACCTAAATAAAAAAATTAAAACAGAATTTTGCAAATGAAACCTCCTCTAAGATATGATATAAACAAACAAAATTACATTTGTATAGCGCCTTTCACGTCGGGAAGATAACCCAAGGTACTGGACAATGTGTTTCGGACCTGAGCTGGGGGGTCAGGATCGGGGAGGGTGGAGTACAGAGGGGGAAAAGGAGGGAGACTGAAGACATGGGCGGGGACGTGAAGTAGGTCCGAGGCCGCTGAGCAGATGGAGCGGGCAGGTCGGAAGAGGGTTAGGAGGTCGCAGAGGTAGGGGGGAGCAAGGCCATGGAAGGTGAGAGTGAGGACCAGGATCTTGAACTGTATCCTCTGTGTGATGGGAAGCCAGTGGAGTCGGGTGAGGATGAGGGTGATAGGGTCGTGAGGCCTGGTGCAGGAGAGGACACGGACTGCAGAGTTCTGGATGATCTACAGTCTATGGTGGGAGGAGTTGCTGAGGCCGACAAATAAAGAGTTTGCGTAGTCGAGCCAGGATGTCATTAACGTGTGTATGAGGGTCTCGGCAGCCTGCGGTGAGACGTGGCAGAGCCGGGCAATGTTGCGGAGATGGGGAAAGGCGGAGAGGTTCATGGCATGGATGTGGGGTATGAGGGACAGTTGAGGGTCGAACAGGACTCTGAGGTTCAGTATTAGCTGCTTGAGATGTAGAATGCATCCATGGAAGGAGATGCTGTCAGCGCCCGAGGTATGGAGGCGCTGACGGGAGCCAAGCAGGAGGGCCTCAGTCTTGTTGACATTCAACTGCAGGAAGTTAGCTTTCATCCAAGATAAAATAATGGTACCATTATTTACACAAAAATACTTGGGTTGCAGTCATAACTCATACCCGTTACCACGGTTATAATTACTCAATGGTTTACTTTCCTCAAGCTACTTATTCCAACAAGTATCATTGGTGCAATACCTTAAAGAAAGTTCCAATTTTATGTTTTCATTCATGGTAGTTGAGTAGACTCAAAGCAATTAAAAACATGTACAGACGAGTACGTCAACTCAGGTTACCTTTCAGCCTCTTTGTATTTTCCTTGCTTTTCTAGTTCTTGTGCTTGATTAATATACAAAATAGCTACATCTTCCTGCTTCATGCACTTCATCGCCAACTGTAACAAAACAATTACGCTTTAAAATTACAAGTATTTACTGCCGATAACAAAACCAAATAACAAAACCAAACTACATTACTCTGTTCTACTCAAAAGCTAATACAATGGGACAAGCAAGCAGCTTTCCATTAAAATTCACTCAAACAGCTTTCCACCCCGTTTGGATAAATCAAAAGGTCAGTTGACTGATCTTATATGCCAGGCTGCATTAATTCAGCATAGGAAAGCTAAAAATAAAAAAAACTCAGAACTTGCATAAAAGTTCAAATATGGATAAAATATTCGCTGACAAAATAGAGTCAATCCACTTTACAGTATACCCTGTGAAGTGCTTTGAGATGCCTCAATGATCTGATAAGGCACTATACCAAATGCAAGTATTGTAGCACTATAATAAAATAAAAATACACAACTTGGCTGTACATAGCATACAGTTCTAAGAGATCCAGTCAATGCAGACAAGCAAGCAGCTTTCTACTAAAGCTATCCAATTGATTCTACAGAATTTTATAATCACTCATCTTGTGTTACAAAACGTTATTAAAAGCTATGATCAGTACAAAAGAACAGTGCATTCAAGATAAATTGGACAAAGCAGCTAGACACAAATGAGTGATTGTCTATTTGCCAGCAAATGTACCAATCTTGGCAAAGAGTGAATACTGGGGTAATGGGGGTAAAATTCCATCTACTCTTTAATCTGGAAGACCATTTTGCTTGAAAATTTTAAGACTGCAGAATTATGAAAAATTCTTAGATTCAAATTAATTTGGAAGCTAGGTTGTTTTAAGAGCGGAAGAAAATCAAAAGCAAAGCAAAATGGTCTTCCAGGCTCAGACTACGTTGAATTTGGACCAATTATTCTTCTCTAGTTGATAATTTATGAACCTATGTGGTGTACAACAGTTACAAGTTCACGCCATTAAACTCTATAAATGTGTCACCAAGTGGAGAATCATCGCTGAGAGTCCTAAACAGTGCATTATTATTAGAATTTGGATGTCTAAATCCATTTGTCACTCAGATGTATTTAATGGAACACAATGAACCAGACAACTGAAATTGAATGTCAATTTAAAAATCTTGCTAAAAATCTCTGGGAAGGTCAATTGTGATATTGATTAAAGGTCCCAACAGCGCAATTTACTAGAAACGTATATTTCTATTAAAATTTTAAATATTATTTCAGTGGGTCAATGTTGAAGTTTGTGAATGTTGGTCTCAAAGTACAATGTGTAATACAATATTATCAACAACAACAACAACTTGGATTTATATAGCACCCTCCACGCTGGACGGCGTCTCAGAGCGCTTCAAAAGATGGGTTTAACTCTAACTTTGCTTCATAGCATCTAGGTTATTCTAAACTGAAAACTCACACATTATATTTTAAAAGACCTTCCTTTAGCACTCTATGAATAGATGGAGAAGAGAAATGCATTTTATTGGATGGTAACATTTTATACTCATCAAAGTGAAAAATAACAGTGCATCATTTCTATTTTACAAACTATTCATCCATGTGCCCTTCAAGTGAGACCATAAATTTAGAGCTCAGCATTGCTGAACTATACGTAGTTTTCTCGAGGCTACTAAGAACTAAAGTAAGAGCTACAGCTCATTTTATCTAGAAGTCTACAAACCAGAAGGCAGTGAAAATTGGGCTGATCTGATTTCGGATTCTAGAAAGGTAATAACAACACAAGAAAGTTTCTTAAATGATTTAGGACAGCGTTAAAACACAATTCGACACATAACCTTGTGAGCTTGCTCCCAGCGTCCTGCTTGAGTGTACATGTCAATGGCATCCTTTATTTGGTCACCTTTAACATACATCCGTTCTGCAGTCTAAGGATAAATAGAGCAAGGAACAATTAATGCTAACCTAACTACAAATCACAATAAACTTTGATTGATAAATTGCAATCTTTCATAAACGGTATTTATGGCCATATGTACATGACATTGAATTAAATCATTTCACTATACTATTAAAAAAAGGGTTACATGGATTTGCATTGCCCATCTTCAACTGGACCTTCTAAGGTGCAAAAAATCTTTTTGCACAGATATGACAAATAAATCCAATGAAAATGATTCATAATGAAATTTAGAGTCAATTATTTCATTAGATGCTAATTATATGATGAGATAATTCTGATTACACATTTATGTGTGGTTTATGCATGGGGCATAACAGGCCACATGCGTTTATACAAACACAGACTTGCACTAAACAAGAAAAGGATGTGCAATTGACTATCATTTCCTCCATCTCATATATTTAATATTTTAAGGGAAAGTTCTAATGATATTTCCTAATCCCCCAAATAAATTCTAGAACTCCTCCAATAAAGCTCCAACTTTGTTCATACATTTCTACTATTCAACTCTGGGAAGAACACAATTCTTCCCAGAAATATAATTTGTTTTTATATCACCTTAACCCCTTTATTCTATACCTGAAATCCTATTCTGAGTCAAATATTTATTTATTTATTGATGGGCTGAATGGCTTCCTTCTGCCCTGTAGATTTCTATGTTTCAAATAGAGATAGTTCTAAGGGGAGAATTTTGCTGGTACCCAGCCATACATCATGGCTGATTCACAGAATCCCTGCTCTGAAGAGACAAAAGTAGATTGCAGGATACTATACAAAGAAATTTCAAAAGTCTGTTACCAATATGAATAATACAACATTCATTTATATAATAAGGAATGATGTCATAGCTTCAAACCTCATACTCCTGAATAGAGGCATAATGTTGTGCTATCTTGTGATAGTACTTGGAGGATGTCTTGTCATCTTGAAGTTCTAGAATATGGACTGCTTTCTTCCACTGACGAGCTCCAATACTTGTTTGAATTGCCTTTTTAGCACAACTGTGAAAAAAAAGTTGAAACACAATTGCTGTATACAATGACATATCATTAAAGGAGTTAGGATTATCTATTTAGACTACCATTCCAACCCCTGAAGAAACTGCTAGTTACAAAGAGTGCTTATACAATGGACACTCATACTTCTCTTCCAATTGAACTTACCCAGCCTCAATGTAGTGGTTGATTGCAGCATCGAGTTGCTTCTGCTGTACAAGATAGTCTCCCCAAGACTCTTCCAACTTCACAACTTCTGATGGGAAAGCAAAGCGGGACAGCTCCACCGCTGCAGGGAGAAAAACAACTTCATAAACAAACCTACAGAACAAAATCACTATAACAAAAACAAAATGAGTTGAAAAAGTCATGAACTTGTTTTTACATTGTGCCCTTCATGCGGGATAGTGCTCTTGAGACGCCACTTTGCATGAAGGGAGCTATTGTTGTTGTTGAAGTTGTGCACCTCTGCACTACAAATATACAAATATAATTGTTCAGAATTTTTGTTCTGAGAAAATACTTCCTTTGAGTTTCCGGTCAATGTGGAACAATGTAAAGCCCCCAACCCCATTCTCAATGCTTAAAATACAATGGAATTTAGTATGGAAATACCAGCTGTGGACATTTGTGAAAGTCATCTAAATTTAGCAACAACATTGACAAGTCAATATCCTGCGAAGCATGTTGAGAGGCATTTTGGAGATGTAAGGAGCTTTACTGAATGTAAGGATTATTATCCAAATTTCAAATTGCAATTTTTGTAAAATGGCATAGAATGAAAAAAGGCCAGAAAACATCATTGCCCCAATCGTACACTTTGTGAATATTGAAATATGATTCCCGATTACCAGTTTAGAATCTAACTGTATGTAAATTTTAATTTTGCATTTTTATAATACAATAAACCCCGTCTTACTGGACTTCAAGTATCGAGATTTTGAACCTTGCCTGACCAGGCCTGAAGCCTAACTGACACCCAATTCCTGGCCCGGCGCCCTCTTATTTCCTATCTTCTGTCCGCGGGATTATAACAGTTACAATGCTGGTGCTGGCATTTAGTGACATTTTTGAAAAATGCTGGTAATTGCCAGTACTGGCGTTCTAATAACACTTAGCCAGAAATGCCGGCTTGCTGGACCGGATCTACCCCCACCCCACCCCAACCCCATTAATCTGGCCAGCCAGGGTTTAAGTGTATGTTAAGCTGTTACTATCTACAAAAGAATCAACATTTCAATCTTGCACTCCACCTTACAACAAGCCTTTGAATCATCTTCCAGACATGAAAGGCGCTGTATAAATATGTTTTGCTGATTGTACACTGGTAGATTGTTAGTTTCACATTAGACAATTAGAGTGAATACTTTCATATCTAAAATTAGTGCAAAATATTTTTTTAAAAAAGGTAACAGCTTCATAGTAAAAAGAATCTGTCTTTCCTGGAACACTATGCAAGAGTGCATCCATTTATTTTTAATAATAAATAATAATAATCCTTGCATTTGATATTGCGCTTTTCACGTCTTCTAGACGTCCCAAAGTGCTTCACAGAATATACTGTAAAGTGAATTGACTGTATATTTGTGGGCGAACGTGGTAGCCAATTGCGCACAGCAATGTCCCACAAACAGTCATGGATTGAAAATGACCAGTTTAGTATTGTTTTTTTTTTGAAGGGATTATTATTAGGCGTGTGGAGTAAGGAAACTTGCCCAAGGTCTCGCCCTGCCTGGAAATGAACTCAGGTCTCTCACTTGCAAAGCGAGTGCTCTAACCACTGAGCTACAGGATTCCACAATTTTTGCTCAATGTTGAGCATTATTAGTGCTGCTGAAGTAGCAAAATTGCTGCAGGGCATATTGGCATTTATATTCTGTATGAATAGAAAGAACCCTATTGTTTAGGTGCTCATCATTCATTCGTTGATCAATTCATGCTGCAAGTATACAAAGACTGAGAAAAGAAGTGCTGATAATAGGGAAAAAACTAAGTAATTAGAACAGTAATACTGAGAGAGAATAAAATGTCAGTTGGCTGTAAAGCGTTTTACTGAAACTAACTGGATTAATATTGGAGCACTTAGTTGGTCAATATCATCAAATTTATAAAACTTTCAGTTGTATACTTTGAATGCAGTTTGATTTACACATCTAGGACATCAGTAAATTTTTCATATATAATAAAACATTCATATCCTGCATGCACTGTACCTTTCCTAAAGGCGTTGCCCTTGCGGTAGCATTCCAAGGCTCTCTGAGGATTCCCAATTTTGTCATAGAGGTCTCCGGCCTAGGAAACAGGAAGCATTTAATTAGATCATGAACAAACTGCTCCTATAAGTAAGCATCCAGGTGACACATGGAACCATCACTACCACATTACCCATTATAAATTCTCCATTGCTAATTCTACACCATACCTACATCCTACATTATCTTGCAAAAAATACTGATGAATACTCTAGCCATGTGAATAGCTTACCACTAACTTCCAAGATTGTTTTTGTGGTGAATGCCAACATTCTTCTGCCACCATGTTAAATAATAACTATAATCCTTGCATTTGATATAGCGCCTTATCACGTTTCAAAGTTAATTCAAAACCAATGTAAATTAACATAGATTCTGCATGTGTTAGATAACTGCAAGCATTTTGAAGGCTGCTGTATAAATCCTAAGATTGAATAGAGAACAGCTTTCCTTATGTATTGCATCACTTTATCAGAAATCCTTTTGATATTATGCTTTTTAAGCATTATCCTAACCACTTTACCTTTTAAAACGGGCTGAATTAATTTCATATGAACCCTTCAAAAGCTCTCCACGAGACAGAAAATAAGATCTGCCGGGTTAGATAAATATTTCATAATGGGTGATTGAAAACTTGCAAGCAAGCTAGATGTGAGCTGTTGTACAAATCTTAATAAATAATCTTGAAGAATTATGTGATTTTGTTTGAAAAAGTATTGTTTTAATGTTGTACTTCATTGCTGTTTCGCTTGCAGTGCAGTTATGAGGAGTGTGAGTGGTGATCAGATTGTTGCTATGTGGTGTGGAGTTTGTTTGAATGTTTAAATTCTGGACATTCTCTTCAAACAAATTTAAAAAACAGAGCTCAGTATTTAAACTTCATATCACTTCAACATGAAAACTACTTAATGCAATTGACACAATATAACGACTGATTCTTATCAGTGTGTACTGGGAAGAAATTAACAAAAACAGTAATCTAGGTCTTAAAGCAGGGGTCTCCAAACAGTCGATTGCCACTAGGTGACACATGATCAAGAAGACAAGAGGAAACAGCGATACAACTGCGGTTATTGAGTCCAATTGAAAACAAAGCAAAATAAAACTTTAATATTTAAACTGCAGTGAATATCGCTCCTTCCTCTTGTTTTTATTGAGCATGCGCAAAACGCCATCTAGTGGTGACTGTTTGGTTGGAACCCTCTGTTTTACAGGATAGTTTTTTAATCCATTGAGTTGCCCCAACTAAATAAACAGAATATTTTTTTAACATGAATTCATATCATATACAGTGTAACCAGTATTTGATGTACCAAAATTAAATGCCTCGAATATTTAATTTATGCCCACTATCCCATTAAAAAAATCATTAAAAATCCAGTGTAGAATTAAACTTTATGTAAAGTATCGCAGAAAATAAACACTCAACAATTTCAGCACCAAGTCTTTGTTTCATAACAATCCCAGGCTTTAAAGGTCAATTGTTCAATTATTACTTTGCTGAACATTTGAATTGAAAGTTCTCCAGTATTACTTCTGGATTAATACCGATCAACAAGCATCTAATGACATATAATAAAACATATCAGGCATTGCCAATACCTACCCTTTCATAAAAATCTCCTTTAATTAAGGCTGCAGCAATTTTGTTAATGACCTCAACATTCGTCATAAGTTCTTTCCGATTCAATGCTAAACGTGCAGCTTTTGCTGGCAGACCAGCTTTCAGATAGAGATTAATTGCTCCTATGTAATCCTCATTGTTTTCTTTCACTTCTCCTGCCTTCTCATCTTGATTTGTCTCCATCAGCCACTGGTAATAACTGCGTCTCAAGTTCTCTAATTCAGGGTGACCCTGAAGGAATAAGCAGAGTAAGAGGAAACATCACAGAAGGTCATTCTTGGCAGGTTATTCTCTGGTGTGCAAAATGTCAATATAAAATAAGTTTATCAGCTTCCCCTTTTATTCGCGTTTTGCTGTTATTCTAAAGCCCTGGTAACAGGGGAACTCAACTTCATAAATATAGTTCTTTTCAATCAAATTTCAAATTTTAAGATTTTGTTTGCTGAATTCAGCAGCTTAGTGAACAAAGAAAGCTCATAGTGTATTATACCACAAAGGCTGAAGGGTCGATGCTTGGTTTGTGGATAGTTTGCTGACTGAGTAAATGTCAGCCAAAATACCTGTTCTGATCACTAGTCAGTATCAGATGTAATAATAAGAATCCTTGTGTTTGATCTAGCGCCTTCTCGCCTCATTGAGACTGAAGCTAACATTTTCTTTTGCAACATGAATGCATTAGTGAATCACATGACTGCCTTAAGTGTTGTTTCAAATATTGATTAGACTATAATAATTGTATGGGATCTGGCAAATAAAAAGGAAAATACATGCAATTTAGATCATATTTACCCTCCCCACCTTCTCCTTTTGCGTCACAAAGAATCCTTTCTGAATAAATGTTCAGTCGGGGATTTTGTACCACATATCTCTGTCTTGCTTGGTCTATTGTTTACAATAGTTTCATTGTATTGGTCAATCTTTAGAACAAATTACCTTAGCTTCAGCAACAAGAATACATTCATCCCACATATGTAACTCCTGGTACATATCCATGGCTTTGTCAATAGCGTTCTGGGAAAAGATTGATATTTTCTTTTTAATCAAATTGTTCTTTTGATAATTATTTTAATAAAGCTTAGAATAATCACAGATCATTTAATTTAAAGACCTGTGAATAAAGTGTAAGGTAGATATTCACCCACAATAGAAATGCATTGTATAATACAAACTAACAGAAACACTCATGCAATTTTTTTAGTATACTGAAACAGTACCAAAAGTTCTTAATCTAGCTGAGGAGTCGGGAAAGTAGCCAAAAGCACAGTGAAAAAGACGGAGAGGGAGGAGCAAGATGGAAAGACTCCGGATGGAGCTTATGAGCAGAAAGGCTGATAGTGGGGCAGATTCACTGAAGGACACGAAGCAGGCTGGCATTTGCTGAATGGAGGGAGCTGTCGGCAAAAGGGTTGTAAGAATAGGATGGAACCCAACTATATAAGGCATTTAAAAATGATAAGGATCTTGAATTTGATTCCCTGGGGAATAGGGATCCCGTAGAGCTGAGCGAAGGAGCTCATTGGCATGATACCCTACTTTGTAAGAATTTAAATCCAATAGTGAAAAATTCTATCCTGGAAATTTCTACACAAATGTTAAAAGTACTATCAATCAAAAGTATCATGTGATACCCTCCAATCTCACATTTGATTTCAGTCCCAAAACACAGTCATTGCACCTTTCCATTCTGACAAGATTTAAGACTGAAAGTCACTGAAATATACAATTTACACAAAGTGAACTGCACACTTTCAGCCCCCAACATTTAAACCATTCTAATCATTAGAGACCCACAGTCACATTGCAGCCATTAAAATCCTCACTATTTCTCTCTGTGCATCTGTTTAAAAATTAACATCTCTCTATTAAATAAACCATTCTAACCCTTAAAGACCTACAATCAAATCGAAGCCATTAAATAAATCCTTTCTGTACCTCACTTTGTGCACTCATTCTAAAAAAAATAATTTCACTAGAATAATAATCCTTGCATTTGGTATAGCCTCTTATCACGTCTTCGAGACATCTCAAAGCTCTTCACAAAATATTGCAAAGTAGAGTTACTGTGTATTTTGTGGGTGAAATTATTAAAAATAACACAAAAACATCCTCTCTTAACTGCACTCCATTCTCTACTTCCACATTACTCTCACTTCGCTACTGCCCAAAAGAGCCATTGACACGCACATGGCCTCAGCCAAGAACACCGGTTTCCCTCGTGTCAACAGCACTTCCTGTCTACTACACGCATACACAGCGCGCAGAGGTGACAACAGCAGCAGCCATTTTGTCTGCACGCCATTAAAACACGCAATGAATACAAGAGCATGGGGAGGAGAAGATGGGAGAGGATAACAAGTGTAAGTGAATGAGAGGAAAGAGAGAGAATAAGCGAACGAGAAAAAAACGCATGAGGAGAACATGGTGGAACAATTGTGAGCGAGTGTGATAGGCAGAGGGCAGAGGGAGCTAAAAGACAGAAAACAGTGAGTGATACAAAAAGCGGATACAGGGGGTATAAATACAGACAGTGACGGAATATGAAAGAGAGAAGAATGAGAGTGTGAGGGAATAGAGAGATGAGAAAGAGCAACTGAGCAATAATAAGAAATTCCTTCCTGTTGTCAATTAGTGCCATGGGATATTTAATGTCCATCTGAACAGGGAGAAAGGATCTCAGTTTCATCTGAAAGACAGCACCTCTGGCAAAGCGGCACTCTCCCAACACTGCACTGGAGTTAGTCTAAACTATGTAAGCTCAAAGTCCCAATGTGAGGCTTGAACCCACAACCTTCAAGCTTGAGCGCTGCAAAGACAAGGCATACATTTTGTTGTATAATTAAGTAAATCTCAGTGCTGCATTGGAGCATTTATTGTAAATGTTTTAAATTAAAATCAAATTTATACATGTACCTGTTCCAGATAATAGCTTTCTGCTAACTTGTAATTTTTCTCCAACATAGCCAACCGTGCACAAACAATGTAATTATCTGTGCCATCACCTCCCTAAAAGAGAACAGATAATCAGATGATTTTCTCAATTTGTTAACGCAGGACAAGCATTCCATAGCAGACAGATATCTGTAATAATAATAATCCTTGCATTTGATCTAGCACTTTTCACGTCTTCTAGACGTCTCAAAGCGCTTCACAGAATATGCTGTAAAATGAATTGACTGTATATTTGTGCGCAAAACGCGGAAGCCATTTGCGCACAGCAGTGTCCCAAAAACAGTCGTGGATAAAAATGACCAATTTATTATTGATTTTGTGTTTTGGAGGGATTATTATTAGGCGTGTGGAGTAAGGAAACTTGCCCAAAGTTTCGCCCTGCCTGGAATTGAACCCAGGTGTCTCGCTTGCAAGGCAACTGCTCCAACCACTGAGCTACAGGACTCCACGTACCCAGATATAAAATTGAATATCCTGAAATTAGCTAATAATCCTTGTATTTGATATAGCATCTTATCCTTCTTAATGTGGAGGCAAGCTTGCTGAGCTGCCTGCAACCTGAGGTGCTTGGTAATGGAATATCAGAATCCTTGTCCACTGGCTCTGTTCCCACCCTCTTAAAACAACCGCCATCACCCCATCCTCCAAAAACCTTCCTTGGACCCATCGCTGCTCACCAATTACCGCTCCATCTCCAACCTCCTTTCCTTTACAACATCCTGGAAATAGTTGTTGCTTCCCAGCTTTGCTCCTTCCTGTCCTCTACAAAACCCCCCAATCGGGTTTCCGTACTGCCCACAACACATAAACAGCCTTGTTCAAAATGGCAAATGACATTTTGCCTATCTGTGAGCAGGGCTCCCTCTGTCTCCTCATCCTCCTTAACCACTGCTACCGATGATCACTCTATCCTCCTCCACCTCCTCGACTCTCACCTCAACCTCCATGGTTCTGCCCTTGACTGGTTCAGATCTTACCTCTCACACCGTCTCCACTTTGCCTCTACAAATGGCTTCTCCTCCAGCCCCCGCATCGTCTTGTTTGGTATTCCTCAGGGTTCTGTTCTTGGTCCTCTTCTCTTCAACCTGTACATGCTACCTCTTGGTGACATCATCTGCAGATGTGGGGTGAACTTCCACACATATGCAGATGACACCCAACTATATCTTTCTGCCTCCACCCTCGACTGCAGGACCACTGCTATCCTGATAGAATGTCTGTCAAACATCAAGTCCTAGATGAGAGCTAACTCTCTGCAGTTGAACGTCAACAAGACCGAGGTTCTCCTAATTGGTTCCCGTCAGCACTTCCACACCTCAGGTACTGACAGCATCACCATTCTTGGATGCACACTCCACCTCACTAAGCCAGTACAGAACCTTGGTATCTTGTTTGACCCTCAACTGCCCTTTCTCCCCCAGATCCGTGCCATGACCTACTCTGCCTTCCCCCATCTCCACAACATTGCTCGGCTCCACCACTGCCTCACCCCTCAGACCACCGAAACCCTCATTCATGCTTTCATCACATCTAGGCTCGACTACACCAACTCCCTGCGTGTCAGCCTTCCCAACTCTTCCCTCCACAAGACGCAGATAATCCAGAACTCTGCAACTTGTGTCCTCTCCCGTACCAGGCTCTGTGACCCTATCACCTCCACCCTCACCCAGCTCCACTGGCTCCCCATCCTCCAGAGGATAGAGTGCAAAATCCTCCTCCTCGCCTTCAATGCCCAACATGGCCTTGCTCCTTCCTACCTCTGTAAAATACAACGCCATATCAACCTGCCTGCTACTTCCACTCAAATGTCTCCAGCCTGCTCCACATATACTGCCCACCCTGCCACCATCGGCGGTCCAGCTTTTAGCCTCTCTGCCCTGACCCTTTGGAACTCCATCCCTCAGTCCCCCCACCTTGCATCCTTCAAGGCACCTCAAGTTCTTCCTCTAAACTGGGCTTTCGGCCACCCTCCTACCCCTACCCTCCCTGCCCTTACTAGAGATGGGAAAATTTCCATTTGTGCATGGCACACGTATGTGGAACTCTCAGTCTGGTATCAATAGTTGATGGGTTTCCCAAGTCAGACAAATCAACTAACCAAAAAACATCATGTCAAACATCTCAAAAAGATATTCAATAGTTATGAACTATTTGTAGATGTGTATAACTAATACTTACATATTCCTTCGCTGCTTGATCTGCAATCTGGTTAGTATCACGAAGAAATCGAGCTTTAGCTACATCACCAAGAGCAGCAAAACATCTAAAAGTAAAATAAGTTATTTTTTTAAAAACAATAATAATCCTTACATTTGATATAGCATCTTATTACATCGTTGGAACATCTCAAAGTGCTTCACAGGATATACTGTAAAGTGTAGTCACTGTATATTTTGTGGGCGAAACGCGGCAGCCAATTGTGCACAGCAGTGTCCCACAAACAGTCGTGGATTGAATGACCATATTTTTTCTTTGGAGGGATTATTACTCGCCAATCGACTAACAACTGGGTTCCTACTTATTGGTAGGTAAACAGAGACATGTGTGTGGAATAAGAAAACTTGCCTAAGGTTTCATCCTCTCCCGCACAGGAATTGAACCCGGGTCCTTTGGCTTGTGAGGCCAGTGTGCTAACCACTACGCTATGGGACTCCGCGATAGAGAGAGATGATAACAATTAACATATTGTATCGCTGACAAGAATCGGTCACATTTTAGTATGAAGGGAAATACCACAAAGGTTTGAAAATAAGGTTTTGTGGTAAATCGCATTTCCCATTTACAAGGCTTATGTAACTGCTGTCCCAGTGTTTCAGGATTTATTATATTTGATTAGCTAAAATTATCATTGATTAGATTTACAAACAATTCTCTTAAAAAGACTAAAATGTTAAAATACAAGATAAAAATTTACAGAAGTTAACTTCACATTTCTCTTAAGATAATGACTTGCTTAATTTAGTACTTTTTCAATAGTGTAATAAGATAATAATAATTCTTGCATTTGATATACGCCTATAACATTGAAACGTTTCAAAGCATTTCACAGGGAACTGCTGTAAAGTGTAGTGATTGCATTAACAGGGAAAAACAGCAACCAATTTTTTTTCATATTTGGAGCAGAATTACAAAAGTAAATGATATGTTAACTATTATTATTAAAACAACAATAAATTGGTCATTTTTAATCGACGACTGTTTCTGGGACATTGCTGTGCGCAATTGGCTGCCGCGTTCGCCCACAAATATACAGTCAATTCACTTTACAGTGTGTTCTGTGAAGCGCTTTGGGACGTCCTCCCGACGTGAAAAGCGCTATATCAAATGCAAGGATTATTATTATTATTATTATTTATTATCAACAATACTCCCTAGTAATGCCATATTTTGGACCCATCAGATAGACTGCAGTAGCCTTTTTTGGTCCTGGTTATTCCTTGTAAAATTTGAATCACGCAAAAATAAGCCAATTTATAGTATGCTAACAGGTATTTCTACAGTACAGAATTTAAAATTTAAGCACTCCACAACACTAGGCCATGCGAAGGGAGCTATATAAATGCAAGTTGTTGTAGAATGATAAGAATGTTATATTTTGCATAAACAATTCCTAGTTTAAATAACTGCTAAACCAATTTTAAAATTTCTACGAATACTGTTTGAAGTTGTAGGTTGCTCTACATTAAACATGGGTCAGGTACTAAAAGTATTTTGAGTAGCTATTGAAGGTCCCAATGAGGCTCTACCCTGCGTGAAGACCTCTACGTAAATGCAAGTTGATGATGTTGAAAATTAACACGATCAGACCAGTGCATTCCAATTAACGAGAATTTAAAAAAATAAACATTCTGTGTCTTTTGTCACATATGATTTGACAAACATTTATTACCTTTCTGCAATATGTAGCTGCTTAGCTTCCAGTGAGAGCTTGCTCAGTGTCTTCCACATAGCTTCAGTCTCTGATGACATCTCCAGGGTCTCCAGGAAAGCAACGGCCCTGGGAAAAACATCAACCGCAATACTCAGCACATCGTTTTTGGTGCCAGAAAAAGACGCAGAGAAGTATTCTCTTTCAATCTTAATTATTTTAAATTTGAACGCATGGAGTTATCAGTGAAATGTAAATCAAAAGCTGAACAATTTTTTGCTAGACTAGACGCTGAGAGAAAAGTGGTAAAATAAATTATTTAAATTCTATCAGGCTCTGGAGCATCAATAATATGACTGCAATGATTAACAGTGCTACCATTTTTTTAAAAAAATTGCTTTTGTAAGAAACAATCGTCATGTACTAAAACCTCATTTACAAATCCATTCATGATCTAGCACCTGCATCCCTCTCTCATCTGCTCACCTGTCTGACCTGCTCATATCCTACTCCACTGCTCGCTCCCTTCGCTCAGCAGACACAAGATCTTCTGCAGCATCAATAATGGCTGTACTTCAGTCACTTCGCCCTGAACCTCTGGAACTCCCTGCTTCAATCCCTCCACCTCCTCTTTATCCATCTTTAAATCCCATCTTAAGCCCCTTTGACTGTACCTACGGTCACTTTGCCCTTCTCCCTCGCTTGGTGTCCAACCTAACCATTATCGCTCTGAGATGTTATCCTTCCTGAAAGGTGGTATATAACTGCAAAGTTGTTGTTGATTGGCTCTCAGTACTTCAGACAATCAAGTTTATGATCCTGATCTTCAAATCCCTCCAGGAACTCATCCAATACAATATGTGGAATCTTCTCCTGCCCTATATTCAAGCCCATACCTTCCACTCTTTCATCTATTTTCTGTTCAATTGTGCTTTTGCTCAATGTCTTCAAATTTCTCACTTCCATGCTCAGCATTGACCACTACAATTGGAACATATAGGAATAGGATTGGTCATTAAGCCCCCCCAAGCCTGTTCCGCCATTCTATAAGAATATGGCTGATCTGTACTTCAACTCCAATTACCAGCCCTTGCCCCATATCCCATGATACTCTTACCTAACAAATATCTATCCACCTCAGTCTTGAAAATTTGAATGGATCCAGCATTCACAGCCTTTTGGGGAGGAGTTTCCACTACCCTTTGAGTGAAAAACTGTCTCCTGAATTCACTCCTAAATGGCCTAGCTCTTAAGCCCCCTGGGTCTGGATTCCCCCACCAGAGGAAATTGTTTCTCTGTATCTACCCTATCAAATCCCTTTATTATTTTAAAAACCTCAATTAGATCACCTCTCAACCTTCTAAACTCAATTGTCAAGTGGTTTGAGATGTTCTTTGTTCATGTAAATGCAAGTTGTACTAACCGATCATAATCTCCATCATCAATAGCAGTACCAAATTCGATCAGCCCTTCATCCAGAGTATAAGAAATTGTGTTCACTCCCTCAGTCACTATGACCTCTGTTTTGCCATGACTCCGTTCTAGATCTACAATATCACCCTTTAAAGAATAAGGAGAAATAAAAAGAAATCAAATTGATCAACTAACATATATCAAATAAAGTATCTGCTTGTCCCCCTGAAATATTACACTGTGCCTAATCAAATGAGTTATTCTTAACTCAAACTCAAGACTATTTTGTTTAGCTCTCTCTAGCACTTTCTTGCTTCTGACTCTGACTATCAACCTCCTTGACTGCTCGCTTCTGCTAGCTGAGCCAAAACGTAACCCTGGCATTCCGTTTGACCTCTGGCTTATTAGTACAGTAATATTTCAACCCATTCATTGCACCATGAATAAAATAAGAAAAATGGACTTGACAATCTGCTTTGATTTAAGTTACTTCACAATTTGAAGTTTTTTTCTAAAACAAAATGTGAAAAATGGAAGCACAAAGCGACAAAAAGGAAATCCAGAAAAAATATTGGGGAGAATAAGGAATATACCAGAAGGCTACGATCCTGGCCAACAATTTTCCAGATAAAATTCATCACTCAATTCATGGCTGCTTGTCGGACATTATTGTGCGCAAATTAGCTACCATGTTGGTCTCCAAATAGACAGTCACCACACTTTACAGAAACTTTGTGAAGTGCTTTGAGACATTATATGCACTATACCAAATACAACAATTATATTTTCATAGAGAATAATCGGAATCTCACTGTTGAGTTACTAACACTGCAGAACTCTTCAGATGTTCCCGTATCTTTCATCCAATTTATTTTCTTTACCTTAAGAGGAAACATTGTAACTCTCTCAGGAGCATCAACGTTGTACCAGACACAGAGATTGCCCCGGTTCTGGGCCACAACCACATCACTACCTGGTACCCATTGCACGTAGGAGCAGTAATTCAGCACGGTTGTCTTTGTGGTGCTCTCTATGTCAAACAGATGCAACTAAAGAGCAGAAAACAATGAATTATATTTTGTTATAAAGAATTCAACAACATATTTAAAGCAACATTGATTTTATAACATTTTTACATATAACGTTTTGGACTCCAACTCGGGTCCAAAACTCTGTATGTTCAGGGCCTTGGGATGTCCTCCCGACGTGAAAGGATCTATACAAATCTGATTTTGCTGCTGTTGTTGTAACGTGATTTAAACAAACATCCAATGGAAAATGAAATTAAATCTAAAATACTTGTTTGACTCCAATTCTTGTCAACAAAAAAAACTCCTAAATGTTGTTTCAGTCTAAGACATTTCATATCATGGTTTTGAACATCAATTCATACTGTACTCTCCACAGCAAAATCTCCGAAAAGTGTAATACAAATAGTATCATTACAAACCATGTTTCTTTCAAGTAACTTTTAAATTTTCTTAAAAAGATACTCACCTATCCAAAGGTTATAATTTCAAGTATAAAAAGCATAAGAACTTACACTGAGCCTTTTATCTCTGAAAAGTAGCTTGTGTCCAGTTTCATTCAGTTCTAACCAGTCAATTTTCGTATCATGACTTATGGCACCCAAATTATAGCCAGATATTAGATCCACTGAAAGAGGAGAAAAAAATACCTTGTAAATATGATTACGCTTCCACTTCCAATATCTCAAACGTATTTGTACCTTCCTCCATACATGTTTTTCTACATCTTCCATTTGGAACAATGGCTGAGCCTGCAAACTCTTCTATGATTTTAAGTTGCAACACCACTGGTTTCTTAGTGATGTTGAAATCTCTTATTCTATCTTGTAGCAACCCATACAGAAAAATGCAATATACCACACATAGGAAATAAGAGTAGGATATATGTACATATGTGCTAGCAAGGAGAGTAAAATTTCTATGTAGCTTCCTTGTCCTTTTTTTTTTTAAATGTACCCACCTTACTGAATTTTTGGATGGCAATGTCACAAAAGGATTTTCAGTATTTAGGGGCAAAAATATTACACAAGTCTGCTGTATCAAACTATAGCAGCATAAATAAAAATGTGTCCTACGTCATATTTGTTTCTGATTACAGCAGTTATGGCCACCACGATAAAAAAAAACTATTGTTGGAATAAAGGTAGTCTTATGTACTGCATTTCTATCCTTATTGACTGTAGAAATGTCAGAAACTGATCAGAGGTGCTTCATGCACATGACAGTCTCCCTCTCCTCAGCGATGGGAGCAGGCAATATAATCACAGCTCTATGCTCACAAAACTGCTTAAATGCTATCTGTACTACAGCAGGTGCAGTATAATTACAGCATAAGCACATTACATAAATTACACTGGTGTGTAAATTGGTTGTCTGCACTTAAAAGGCTTCAAATAGGCCTCAGGCAGACTTAAAATGCTGGAGGCTAGAAATTCTTCATAAATTCAACCTATGTTAATAATGCACATCATCAAAGGCACTGCACTTAGTGGCAGAAGAAGTGCCTTGCTCAGATTTTGAATTTCAATATAAACTTGAAAAGGCAAATACCTTCATTGCATTTCACATCAAATTTGCCAGAGAAACCCTGCTCTAAATTTCTAAAATGACGAAAAGCAGATCAACTTAGATTGTGATCAGACTGGACAATTCGAGTGCAAAATTAAGCAAGCCTCAAGCAAAAGTAGAAAAGATAATTTGTGCAATAGGCATACGACCAGGGGTTCACGAAGACCAGAATGATCATTAAATCAGAATCAAGCGAATATAATATGTTTTATAAAGAAAACACATCAGATAGTGTACCCACCAATTGCTATGGTCTTAATATCTATCAGATATGCAAGTTTCTTGTTGTCTTCGACCCCTCTTTGTTTGCGTTCATTCAGGCGAACACTGTCACATACACAAAAGACAACAGTAATTTTTAAAACTTGTGACAACATAAGGTTATATTTTCTACGATCACTATTGTTATTTATGTCAACTTTATGCCATGGTATTGCTTTGTATTTTCAATAGGAATTATTTGGCCAACCTACAAAAGAGGTAGGTTGGTTACAAAAGACAAAGGAGGAGAAATTCCATGTAGGTCTAGCTTTGCTCTATTATCTTAGCATTTCAGAACTTGTAGAATTTGGAAAACTGTTGAAATCAGGATGAACTATTTACGTCTTAAAAGTAAAGAAAATAAGCGTAAATCTGGACCCAAATGGAATTTCTCCTTCAAAATGTTCATGCTGTAAATCTAAAATAACCAAAATACAAACAGCAGATCAACTGTATCTGAAAGAGAAAGCCACATTAGCATTTATGTGTGACCTTTCATCACTCATGATGAAGGATCACACCAAAATTGGTAACCTATCTTTCACTTTCAGAGAGATAAACGTTACCCTTCAAGTTTCTACGGTTTGCCATCCAGGACAGACTCACATCCCAACCTGCTAATCTACAAAGTCAAAAGGCATCAATTCAAAGCAAGGACAAAACACTAGTTTACTCGTATTAACTTTATTGATAATATTTTCTTCCTACCAGCTAGTCCACATAGTTAGATGTGAATTTCTGAAGGGTTATTCCCACACACTGACATAAGTCAACCAGATGAGTTTACAGATCCAATCACTCATTCTCTTACTAAAGAAGCAGATCAGTACACAGAAAATTAATAAACGGATGGAACAGAATAATTCTATCAATTTGAGTATCAATTATCAAGATCAAAATGGAAATCACACCTGATTAAGTGAGGGTTCATGAACTCTGTTCTAACAGATCCCAGAATGTCATTGTTGCCATATTCCACAAGTGTCAACTCTCCAGCATTAAAGATCATGCACACCTGCAAAACCAAAATATTTTTTTAACATACAATCGACAAATTAAAAATACTCTGCTTGTACTGATACAGGTCCAGTTCAGATGCTATTAGAGCTATAATAACAACTTGCACTTATATAGCGCCCTCCGCACAGGGTAGCATCTCAGAGAGCTTAACACTGGCGGAGCCTGACTCCGAGCCCTGGGGAAGGTGACCGTAAGCACAGTCGAAAAGAATTTTAGGCAGGACTTGAAAGAGGAGAGAGAGGGGATAAGGCAGAGGGATTTGGGGCATAGTGCGACCTCCAATGGTGAAGCAGAGGGTGCGAGGGACAAGCAGGAGGCTGGTAACAGTCGAATGGTGGTGCCAGGTGGTGGATTGGGGAGTGAAGAGGTTGGAGACGTAGGGAGTGCCAGGGAGTGAATGGATATGAATAATAAACAAGAATACTCCATGGGCGATCAAACTATTAAGGCTAAGACCAAAGCTTCAGGCCTCACATTCTCTCAGAAAATTTGTTTCAGAACCAAACAGATATGGAGCACACTGTCCACATTAGTCCCACAAATCAGTCCCACAAAAATATTTTAATAGGCAGACACGTCATAACCTGCACAGTAAAGCAAAACTTACATTTTCATTTTCAAAGAAAAATCTCTCATTTCCACCAGATCCTTGCCAAGCAACCTGAAACACAGTATAAATTATAATTCCACTTGAAATTAAATGTTTACCAATTTCATCTACAAGGATCACTAGTTATTTTGTTTGCAAATGCACGATTTTACAAAAGTGAAGCAAAAACTTGAAAACAAATGTGATAAAATAAATAACTTTTTTTTCAGTTCTCGTTTGGTTTCTCTCTCTTCCCTGCTCCTCTTTTTTTAAGGCACATACCTTGTCTTCACATAGATACATTTAGCATTCTACTGGGAGCCATATGACCATAAAATAAAGAGTTCCTGCAATAGGCTTAGTCTAGAGTACACAGGCTCTGAATATTTCATGTTCACTTTTAGTTCTTATAAGTATCCAACATAGCAATAAAACTGCTCTCTGTATATTTTGTATATATTATCTCAGGTATTGCACTTTTACTTATAGACTAAAAGGTTATAATTCATATTAAAGTAGCAAACTCAGATAAATAAATTTCCATTCAAGGTAGAAACATTTGACCGTCACACATTTATATCATTGGACAATATGAATGACAATTGCTGTTTAATTACTTCACATTCACAATAAAATCCAAGCCTTAGTCTTTGACTGTTGTCTTATTAAGGTACAATGGAATGAAATTTGTGATTCAAAACAGTGCTTCTAGTTAGAACATATTTAGCATTGGCCCAAACAGTGCTTTAATCTCTAAATGACATCTAGGAAAAAGAGGACACGTGACAACTGTTCCAACCAAGAAACGAAGGAAGAAATGCAAATAGGAAATGTAAATTCACACAGTATTACCTCACTGAGTCTGTTGGTGGCTAAGTCTCCTAGAAGCAATGTGTCACTGGTATGACCCACCAGGTATCGATCTTTCCCCATGATCTTTACTTCATCAATTTCATATCCATAGTGAGATTTCAGCACCACTCTGGTTCCTGTTGAAAGGTTCTTTACTATAACCTGAATAGGAAAAATACAGACAAAATTATACCCCTCCTGACATTGTCTATTCACTTTTATGGACTACTAGATATGAACAATGTCTTTTAAGACTAAGGCAACTTACATCGAATGCATTGTGCTCCTTTAAGATTCATTAACACATTAACATAACTCAGTTAACTCTGGGAAATTGACTTTAGTAAGGCAGAGATTCTAGGCTCAAGTGGCTAAAACCCAATAATCAGTGGAATACAGTCTAGCATGTAATCATGAAGATTAGTTCATATTTCAAAGTAAATATTCTGTGATACATTTCCAGGGTAAAGGTATTAAAATTGTTATCTTGCCATCTCGGTTATTCTTTTCAATCTATATACTGGATCCTTGACCCTTTACTTAGCTTTCCCAAGAAGAAAAAAATGTTCAGCGTTTTACTATAACCCTGCACAGCATCATAGTTGCAACACTGCAGCATCAAATAAACAACGAACTATAATTTTTTATCTTGGGCAACACTACATTCATTTAATTCACAACAGAGCGCCAAGTGCAAAAGGCCAAGGTCTTTGAGTTTATTTGATCTAATGCTTTCAGAAATAACAACACTTCATCTTCCTTTCCAGCATCAAGTTGCTTCTTAAATGAGCCTGTGGTCACGGCTCTACAATATTGCACTGCACTAGGAAGAAACGTCAACTCTTGCTCCATACCTGACTGAGACCAACATATGTCATTTCAAATTTATTCTTGTAAATGGATCTGCGCAGACAGCAATCAAATTGTTCCACACCACCACACAGAGTGCCCTGTAAACAAGACAGACAGATTTTTATTCAGGAAGATAAAATGCTTGTTAAATGTTAAAAAGTGTGAAGAAACAATAAGAGATCACATTTGTGCAATAGATTTGCATAAAGCATAGAATCATACAGCATAGAAGGAGGCCATTTGGCCCATCGTGGCTGTGCCAGCTCTTTGAAGAGCTATCCAAATCAATTGAACTCCCCCGCTCTCTCCCCATCGAACTGGAAACTTGTCCTCCCCAAATAATTACTGACTTCTCTCTTAAAAGAAGTTATCAAAGCGGCTTTCACCACCACTCTCTGCTTTCTGTCTCCCAGCCAGTTCTGTATCCATGCTGCCACTTTCCTTTTAATACAGTGGGCTTCTATTTTGCTTACAAGCATATTTGCTAAAGAAACCTTTTAGACGCTCAGAATACACATACAAGAAGAAAATTTTGTTCCAACTACTAACCGCACATAGTCTAGAACCATCCTTTTTCCAGGCCAGAGCAGTGATAGTGTAAAGGTTTGGAATCTCCTTGGCTTTGGCCTCATCCCATGCACTTCTTCGAGGACTCCAGTTTAGAACTCTCAGCCTAGAAAGGAACACCAATTCAGACCATCCACTGAAAACACACAATACCTTTTGCAAGAAAATATCACTGCAAATATGTTTAACCTTTGAAAAATACATAATGCTATATTTAATAATGTACAAATATAACCAGCCGAGTTATATCTACAGAATGGAACTGCTGTGGTGTTAATTAAATGCCAAAATTGTCACTGTCAAATCTTCCCAAATCAGGTTTATCTGAAAAACATCAGATAATCATAATCTAATCTACAGAATGTAAGTTTCATTTTTCCATTCTTCTTTCTTGCTCCTATTCTGAAGGCATTGACTGCTGACATGGTACAGTAATTTCATCTCCATGCTTGTCTTGATGCTAAATATTCATGGCATGAGTTTCTTACTACACACACGGCTGTATTTTAGTTACTAGAAAATTGTAGGTGGAAAAATTGTACATACAGCAATCTGAATAGTGTCAAAAGGAAAAAAATATTTTTCAAAACTCTTAAGAAACAATACAGAGACTATAAAATACTATTTGCTGCAAAGTTCAGTAAACTTTGCCAACAAATACATAGTCACTCCACTTCACAGTAAATCCTGTGAAGGCTTTAATGGAACTGTTCAAAATATTATAGATAAAAATCACATTCATTTAAAGATTGTATTAAATTCTTAATTTTTAAAAAAAAATCCTACATTTTCAGCAACTTTATTGACTGTTGAAAGTGCTACCTCGTAGAGATCAAAAATGCCAAAACAGGCAACCAAAAAACCACTTTTCTTCATTATGTTACCTGTCATAGCTGCCAATCACCACAGACTGACCACTTGGGCTTGTGGCAGCCACTGTAAACTCTTTTTCACCTGGATCCCTTCCATAATCAAACTGCTGTATTACGTGACCCTCCCTTCCGTACGCAAGAATCTTCTTATCACATCCAGCAGCTACAATGCTATTCACAGCCCAAGCCAAGGCATAAGGTGGGCAAGAGTGTGTAGCCAGTTTGCCCTGAAATAAATAAGCATTTCATGTAAGGGTAATATCTGGGCGATTATGAAACATAACTTCTAAATGAAAAATTCTGGATTTATTGTTGTCTTTGTTTAAGATAAACTAGCTGTACCAATTGTATCTACGCTTGAAACCAAAGGATCCAATATGGAAGGTAGATTGACACACAGACAAGACATTTCATCTTTATCTATACTCTTCTGGGAGGACTCCTTCCGGAAGGACTTCTTCCGGGAGGACTCGGTGCTTTAAAAATTTAATTTTGTTGTTGCCACGGCTTAGCTTCGTCTGCATTCTTTATTTTGTTGCCGCCGCTTGGCTACATGCGTGCTCTGTGACGTAGGATGGCATAGCGCCACAGGCAGCTCTCGCAGGCCACCAGGTATAACTGCAGTGTGTGTGTATACATACGTAGGTGCTCTGTGAGCATGATGCCACAGCACTACTTTGACTGGGTGGCCACCAGGTGTGACTGCAGCAAAAAACACAAAACTGAAAATAACTCATGAACGATGGGAGATACCCGAAAACAAATATGCCCATGTCAAATATATCTCTACATCAATTGGTTATTGAGATCCTTCTTGAAGCGCAGACAGGAATTGTCGTTTTATTAGTATAAAGATACAGAAGATAGATAGAAAATGGGAGCTGCAGGGTTCTTTGCATCAGCACTTTACAGAATTGTAAGAACAAAAGGGAAAACAATTACAAATAAAACAAAGTTTTTGTAGAACACTTAACAGCTGGAATGTCAATCTGTTCTCAGGTTGGCTTTACAACCAGAAACATAAACAACAGCTTGAAAGGCTCTATTAGCTAATAGGATTTGTTTTCTATTATCAATGTTGGACTGTCCTGCTTTATTGGAGACTGAGAGAAAATTTACCAAAAATGTAAAGCTGGAAATCATTTTCTTAAATGATTGCAATCTTGAAATGACAAGTAAATCTATAAATCTATTAAGAGCGAGATTCATGGTAACATTAGTAAATCTGGGTTGTCAGGCTCTAGATTTCCCAGGATTTTTTTCTTGACTGGTAATAATTATGTTGATTTCTTTGAAGAAATTATAACAAATCCCTACAGAAAGATGATGTACAAGAGATAGCCGAGCATATAAAGAAATTCAGTTGCCTCACAATAAACATAAGACAATTCATTCTGCCAATAAGATAGAGAGATCAATGAATTCTTAGTCATTCAGCAATTTCATCAGAAGGCTTAAACAGCATCATGTACCACAAAAGCAAAATTTGAGTGATTTAGAACCTTCATCTGAACCAAAAGATGAAATTAACACTTGGAAATCACACCCATGTGCCATTGGTTTTGTATAACAAATACTGTGGTGTGGGCAGCAGCAGATTTGGTGGAGGGATTGAGGGAGAGTGTTGAGAATGTTCCAAAGTTTTGGAGTGTAATGAATGAAAGCGCAACTTCCAATGGTGCGACGGACATGCAAGAAGCCGGTGCCAGTTGAGCCGAGGCGCCAAGTGGTGGATTGTGGAGTGAGGAGGTCGGAGAGATAGGGAGGTGCCAGGGAGTGAATGGATTTGAACACGAGTGTGAGGATCTTGAAGTCGATCTGTTCAGTGATGGGGAGCCAGTGGAGCCTGGCCAGAACTGGTGAAATGGAGATACGGAGTTTGGTCCGTCAATCGGGTTTCCGTGCTGCCCATAGCACAGAAACTGCCCTGGTCAAGGTCACCAATGACATCCTGACCATCTGTGACCAGGGCTCCCTCTGCCTCCTCATCCTCCTCGACCTATCGGCAGCATTCGATACGGTCGACCATGCTATCCTCCTCCACCGCTTGTCCTCCCACCTAAACCTTCAAGGCCCTGTCCTTGAGTGGTTTAGGTAGTACCTCTCCCACCGTCTTCACTTTGTCTCCTCAAATATTTTTTCCTCCGGCACCCGCACTGTCTCGTGCGGTGTCCCTCAAGGCTCTGTCCTCGGTCCCCTCCTCTTCACCCTCTACATGCTCCCACTTGGTGACATCATCCGCAGACATGGGGTTAACTTCCACATGTATGCGGATGACACCCAACTCTACCTTTCCTCCTCTACCCTCAACTCCACGACCACCGATGTCCTGACAGCCTGCCTGTCCGACATCGAGTTCTGGACGAGAGATAACTTTCTCCAGCTCAACGTACGCAAAACTGAGGCCCTCCTGATTGGCTCACGTCTGCGCCTCCGCACCTCAGACGCTGACAGCATCAGCATCCAAGGCTGCACTCTCCACCTCTCAAAGCCAATCAGGAACCTCGGGGTTTTGTTCGACCCTGAGCTGTCCTTTCTCCCCCATATCCGCACCACAACTGGCACCGCCTTCCATCACCTCCAGAATGTCGCCAGACTACGGCACTACCTCACCCCTCACGCTGCTGAAACTCTGGTCCACGCCTTCATCACCTCAAGGCTGGACTATGGGAACTCTCTCCTCGCCGGCCTTCCCGGCACCTCCCTCCACAAGCTGCAGGTCATTCAGAACTCTGCAGCTCGTGTACTGTCCCGCACCAGTTCTTTGCAAGTTCTTTATATCTTTATGTCTCTGGGTATGACAAACTTCAGTTGGGGGCTTGTAGTCCTATTTTCTGAAGGAATTGTAAGATTTTTATACTGGTACAGATTGCTTCAATACGTTTTGGGTAAATGCATGCCTCTCGTCTCTCCCCATGTCTATATAATTTAAGCAAATGTAATACCTGTGAGTCACCTGTTCCTTCATCATCGAAGTAATAGCGCACAATAGTACCATCAGCATGGCCAGACAGAATCCCTTTACCAGATGTACTGTAGAGAAATATTGAAGTACAAATTAAGTGGCCTGTTTGTAAACCTTGCTAATTAAGATCTGGGAATAAGAGAAGTTTTAAATTTAACTAACAGAGATGTCCATACAAAATTTCTTCTATAGGGGAAATTTACAATGCTGCATAAATTAGTATTGGAACCTGATGTAAACTGACAAATAAATTTTGGAAACTGACCCACAAAAGTGGGTTAATTCTGCCCTTTTAAATTAAAAACACTTACTTTGAAGTCAAGGAAACCACATAAGAATCTGTTCCATATATAGTTGAAGACTTGTTGGTTTTTGTGTTAGCCAATCGAACCTGTGTTGAACAGAATCGACTTAATTGGAATGCCAAGAGATTATATTAAGATACAATGGATTTTACTAACAAGAGAACTAAGTTCACAAAAATGCTATTGAATCGTTTTTCCATTCACTCAGAATAGGAAAGGCAAAAAATGATTTCCATCAAAAGACCACTAGATGGCAATACAACTCTATCAGTTTAAACAAATAATACTTTATTTGATACAATGCATTGAAATATCTCAAAATGCTTTATGCAATAGAAGTTATTGTACTGATATTATTGCAATAGAAATAAATATCCATTGACCACAATTTTACATTTCCAATATTAAGAACAATATTAGTCCTGTAGCTTAGTGTTCAGAGTACTCGCCTCACAAGAGAGAGGACCTGGGTTCGATTCCCAAATAGGGCGAAACATAGGGCAAGTTTTCTTACTCCACAAACCTCTGTTTACCAAGCAAATAGGTAGTTGTATGATTGTTAATCGTTTAATGATTAACATCAAGTAGGTTCCCAGTTGTTAGTCGATTGGCGGATTGCTTTTCCGGGGATAATAATCCCTTCAAAAAATATATAAATAAATAAATAATAATTTGGTCACTCAATCTATGACTGTTGGGGGACACTGCTGTGCCCAATTGGCTGCTACATTTCACTCATAAAATATACAGTCAAATCACTTTACAGTATATTCATTGAAGCGCTTTGAGAAGTCTCGAAGATGTGATATGGCACTATATCAAATGCAAGGATTATTAATATTATATTATTACATTTAATAGGAACAATTATTTATTCCTAATGTATTTAACTGGTGCTAGAATGCCACTTGTGAAATTTTAAACTTGCTTCTGATATCTAGCAATATTTATATATTGAAAGCTCGAGAAAATATCCTAGAAATACTCTAGAAACTATATACTGTTTTTTTTTAAACAGAAAAAGTAAAGGCTCTTTGCACAGTGCTGCTACCATGATGTCATGTATGCGCAATGGAGAATCTGGTGTAAGTGTGGAACAGAATCCCCGCACAGAACGGTCACATGTCCAAGTTAAACCTTGCAGTGGCAGGGAGCAAGGGATGAGTTTATTAGGGGCTTGGACTTTTGAGTCATTCTCTACCTTCCATAAGTACAAGCTAAACACAGCATTAAGTCGCCAATAACAACAACTTGCATTTATATAGTGCCCTTCACGTGGGGCAGCGTCTCGGAGCGCTTAACAACGGCGGAGCCTGACACCCCTTGATCATTGCTGCTGCTTTCAATACTTGGGAATTTCTAACAATCAATAAAATAATGCATTATTTGCTATTTATTATTTATAAACAAAAAGTGTAACTAAATGGTGCAAAGCTGTTGGAGGACTCAATAGGATAATCAAAATACATTCATTACCTTTCCTTCAGCTAGTCCAAACACAATTGCATGATCTGCTGGCCAGATTAAACAAGTAACAGCACTCTGAAATTTAAAAGAAAATGTAATTCCAGGTAATGAACAAGAAAATCTGTAAATTGTTTCCACATTCAGCAACTTTTCACACCAAAAACACCTGCCTTTTCCACCGTTTAACCAAATTTCGAGCTCATGGGAATGGAATTTCAGATGTGAAAGGGCTCAAATATGTTTATAAGAAATAAGGGTCCAGATAACAAGGAAATTAAACATTCACATAAAATCTTCTTACCGTCTGGATAAATTTATTACAGATCACCTTCTTGTCACCCCTAGAAAAATATATAAAGAATTGCTAAACAAATTTAAATAGAATGGTTTTAAGCATCAAATAATATTCTCCTGTATGTAATTCTGCCATGTGTGAGTGTTTTATAAACACTGAAGTAGAAAGAGCTACAAAAAAAATCCTAATACAACTACAGCACTTCCTACCAAGTATTTTGAAACTGCTACAACCCCCTTCATGTGGATATCACATAATCTGTAAATTCCGTAATTGTAAAATGCCCACAAAAGGAATCCCAAATTAACAGTTTTGAAATATGGAGACAGGATCCAATTGTGATTTGAGACACATCTGCAGCATGTAATGCATTTAACAATCCTGTTATATGTATAAAGAGAAAGGGAGAACTGGAAAGGTTCAGATAACTGCTGATAACAGGAAATCAATGCTAACATTATGACAACAGAAATTCAACAAAATACAACTGCAAAAACCATTCACACAAGATTAACTTTACAGAATTAAAAATCTATATTTTAATTGATGAAATTCAACTGATGAAATAAAATAGTGAAATAATATTCTTAGTCTATTATACATTGTACAAACATTAATCTATAGGAAAACTGTTTCCTCCCTAGGTAAGGATTGAGCCAATATTTGATTTCAATTTGATATCAAAAGTAATCTGCACCAACAGAGTATATGACTTACCAGTCGTCTCCAATTTTGTAAACGTATATAATATTGTCCGTCTGTCCAATAGCAATTTTAGTAGAGTCAGGTGAAAAGGACATGCCTTTTACTGTGTAGCTTTTCTTACCATACTGAAACATAAAGTATATGCATTTTAAACAAAATAATTATATTAAACAGTGTACAAATAGTTACAATATAATTTGTGTATGACTGGAAGCCAACTAGTCAGTCCAGGAAGCCAGATTCAAGCTGGACAAGCAGCCGGAAAGCTTGCCAGACAGCAATATCAATGGCAAGCTACGCGATTTTAGCTGGATAGACGCCAGCAGTACCCCAACGCACACTCTGGGATCCCCAAGTCTTGGCTCTTGCCAATCTGCACCTGAATTAGGTAAGCGGGATGCATTGCTCCAGGGAGAGAGTGTGCAAACCATTCCAACAATCTGTCTGTGTGTGTAGGTGGGATACATGGAAATCTCAGCTTGGTTTGGATACTCTTAAGCATGGTGATGTGTTTCCATATATGTCAGACACACAGCTGACCAAAAAAATGACAATTTCTATAAATGAATGCATTAATGAGTATGTACATCTTACTATAATTGTCCTTGTATTTCATATAGTGCCTATTCATGTCTTTGAGACATCTCAAAGTTCTTCACAGGATTTTACTCTGATATAGGACTGTGTATTTATAGGGGAACACAGCAGCCAATTTGCACATAGCAATGTCTCACAAACAGCCAGTGAAGGGAGTAACCAATTTTATTTGAGGGCTTGTTGGCCAGGGGAAACTCTTTCTTTTCGAATAGTGCCATGGATCCACCCGAACAGGCAGACTGTGCCTCAGTTTAACGTCTCATCCAAAAGATGGCATGTTCAACACTGCATTGCAGTGTCAGTCTCGATTGTTAATTCAAAGATCAAAGTGGCAAAAGTGCTACCAACTGAACCAGACTGACACCTATACTACACATTTTATCCATTTAATACACTTATATTCCAAGCAGATTTCCTTACCTTGGAATCAGCAGGTTTAGTGGAGAATTTATCCCTCCTTTCTCCATTTTCATCATAAAGAAGAATAACTCTGTCTACAGTACAAACTGCAAACTTGCAATTGTTCGGTGCCCATGCCATGCACGTTACTTTTGCAGCACCATCCTGGGAAGGGGGGAGAATAGTCGGTTACAATGTGAAGTAACATTAATGTTAAATTTTTACTTAATATTTCAGACTTTAGTCTCCCACTTCTACTTTTTTCTGATTACAATTTGCCACCATTTTTAAAGTCCACACCAAACCCTTGGTACAATAATGTGCTGCGCTGCACCTCTCTTTTAACAGCACACATCAAAAGAGGTCACTAAGTGATAACGCAAAACGAGGCAAAACAAGCAAATTTCAGATGTACAGCAGACGATCAGATTTCATCAGCTATCAAGGGATGAGAAGGAGCTCACTCCCCTAGGACTAAGTTATAGCAGCCCACCGCTGTATAGGAGCCATGAGAGAGGGGTACTGGAGGAGGACAGAGTTCAAGAAAAGGACTACTCCCAGAGGAGCCCAACACACAGCCACCCTTCATTCATGCTAAAAGTGATTGGGTGACAGTGCGACGGGGCAAGAAGAGGGCTTGTTCAAGGCAGAGCACCCCCAACAGAGTACCAGTCTCTAATCGGTACTCAACATTAGCTATCGAGAGCATGGAAGCCTTTCATGAGGACTGCAGTGGACATTCTGTCCCAACAGGACAAGGGCATGGTTCACAAGGGCAATACAGTTGTGATAGGGGATTCAACAGTAAGAGGCACTGACAGGATCTTCTGTAATCAGAATCGTGAGGCTAGGATGGTTTGCTGCCTTCCTGGTGCAAGGGTAGTGGACTTCACAGAGCGCATGGACAAGATTCTTCGGGGGGAAGGAGAATGTCCAGAAGTCGTGGTCCATGTGGGGACCTACGATATTGGTAAGAAGAGGGCTGAGATGCTCCAGGGTGAGTATCAAAAGCTGGGGAGCAAACTCAAGTCCAGAACATCCAAGGTGGTGATCTCTGGGTTACTCCCGGTACCTCGGACAACAAGGCACCATAATGAAAGGATCAGGCGCATGAACGATTGGCTGGAGAAATGGTCCGGAAAAGAAGATTTCCATTTTCTGGACAATTGGGACCACTACTGGGGGAGGTGGGATCTTTACCTTGAGGATGGGCGGCACTTAAGCAAGGCAGGGGTGAGCTTCCTTGCGAAGGGGCAGATTTAAACCAGTGTCGAGGGGGGATGGGTATCCAAGGATAAACAATGGATTAGAGATAGAGGAAAAAGACAAGTGGGAAGTGTAGAGCAGGAACAAGTGGACAATTTCCTCAAATGCATGTACCTAAATGCACATAGCTTAGGGAATAAGGTTGATGAGCTGCAGGTTCAACTGGCCATAGGGGGTTACGATGTGGCGGCAGTAACCGAGACATGGCTCAAGCCAGGACAGGAATGGAAGTTAAATATTCCAGGATATAATGTGTTCAGGAAGGATAGAGAAGGAAGAAAAGGAGGAGGGGTGGCAATATTAGTTAAGGATACAATTATAGCTGTAGAAAGGAACGAGGCTCTGGAGGGCCCGACAACAGAATCCATCTGGTTAGAGATAAGAAATAAGAAAGGAGTGGTTACACTGATAGGGGTTTACTATAGACCACCAGACAGCGGGAAGGAGATAGAGGAGCAGATCTGCAGCCAGATCGTGGATAGATGTAAGGCGAACAGAGTTGTGATAATGGGGGATTTCAATTATCCCAATATAGACTGGCAAAAGAGTAGCGCTAAGGGCAAGGCAGGAGAAAGATTCATAAACTGTGTACGGGAAAATTTTCTTGAGCAGTATGTCTCCAGTCCTACGAGGAAGGAAGCATCGCTGGATCTAGTCCTGGGGAATGAAATAGGTCAGGTTGAACAGGTTTCGGTAGGGGAGCATCTAGGTAACAGTGACCATAATATTATTAGATTTAGATTACTCATGAACAGGGACAAAGTACAGTCAAGGGTGAAAATGCTTGACTGGAAAAGGGCTAATTTTGATGGGCTAAAAAGGGACCTAGAGTTGGTGGACTGGCAAGTAAGACTAGCAGATAAAACGACTCATGAGCAATGGGAGATCTTCAAAGATATGATAGCTCAAGGTCTAAATAGATATATTCCCACAAAAGGGAAATGTGCGACAACCAAGCCAGCCTGGATGACCAGGGATATTCTGTCTAGGATGAAAAAGAAGAAGACGGTGTACGACAATTGGAAGATGCAAGATACTGAGGATAGCAAAGCGCATTGTAGAGAATGCAGGAGTGATCTTAAAAGAGTGATAAGACAGGCTAAAAGATCTCATGAGAAGAGGTTGGCAGGTAACATAAAGGGGAATCCTAAAATAGTTTACAAGCACATAAAGTAAAAAAGGTTAGTTAAAGGTAGGATGGGGCCAATCAAAGACAATGACGGCAATCTTGTTGTGGAGGCAGAGGGCTTGGCTGATGTACTGAACGAGTACTTTGCATCTGTCTTCACAACGGAAATGGATGCCCCAAATGCCACAGTATTGGATGAGAGGGTAGAGGAAATAGATCAGATTACTATAGACAGAGAGGAAGTTCTGAAAAGATTGACTGGGCTCAAAATTGATAAGTCACCAGGACCAGATGGGTTTCACCCAAGGTTGCTGTGGGAGATACGGGTTCAAATAGCGGAGGCTTTGGCCATTATATTTCAATCTTCATTGGACACAGGAGTGGTGCCAAGAGACTGGAGAGTGGCTAATGTTACCCCCCTCTACAAAAAGGGGCAGAAAGACAAACCCGGAAATTACAGGCCAGTCAGCCTAACTTCGGTAATAGGAAAACTACTGGAGACCATAATCCGGGACAGAATAAATCTCTACTTAGAGGAACACGAGGTAATTAGAGACAGCCAACATGGATTTGTTAAAGGCAAATCTTGCCTAACAAATCTAATAGAATTTTTTGAAGAGGTGACTGCGAGGGTTGATGAGGGAAATGCGGTGGACATTATTTACATGGATTTCAAAAAGGCTTTTGACACAGTACCGCATAAGAGATTAATAAAAAAATTAGAGGCCCACGGTATTAAGGGGACAGTGGCAGTTTGGATTAAGAACTGGCTGAGTGACAGAAAGCAGAGGGTGGTGGTTAATGGGTGTTTCTCGCAATGGAAGGAGGTGTGCAGCGGTGTCCCCCAGGGATCGGTATTGGGACCACTGCTCTTTCTAATATATATTAATGATCTGGACTTGGGCATAGAGAGCACTATTTCCAAGTTTGCAGATGATACCAAGTTAGGTAGGGTAGTAAATAGTGAGGAGGACTGTAACCAACTGCAAGCAGACATACACAGAATGGTGGAATGGGCTGACATGTGGCAGATGGATTTCAATGTGGATAAGTGTGAGGTGATACACTTAGGTAGGAAAAATGATAGGAGGCAATATAGACTTGGTAGCTCAATCTTAAGGGGGGTGAACGTACAGAGAGATCTGGGTGTTCAAGTAAGTGAATCATTAAAGGTAGCGGGGCAGGTAGATAAGGCAGTAAAAAAGGCATTTGGTGTACTGAGCTTTATTAGTAGGGGCATAGAGTATAAGAGTAGGGAGGTTATGGTTAATCTATACAAAACACTGGTTAGGCCTCAGCTGGAGTACTGAGTCCAGTTCTGGGCACCTTACTTCAGGAAGGACATTAAGGCACTGGAAAGGGTGCAGAGGAGATTCACGAGAATGATACCAGGAATGGGGAACCTTAGCTATGAGGACAGGCTGGAGAAGTTAGGACTTTTCCCATTAGAGCAGAGAAGGTTACGCGGGACCTGATAGAGGTCTTCAAGATCATGAAAGGTTTCGACAGGCTAGATAAGGAAAAGCTGTTTCCGCTGGTAGGTGTGTCTGTGACTTGTGGTCACAGTCTTAAGATATCTACCAAAAGAAGCAGAGGGGAGGTTAGAAGAAATGTTTGCACTCAGTGAGTTGTTTGAATTTGGAATGATCTGCCTGAAAGGGCAGTGAAGTCCTATTCGATAACCGCTTTTAAGAGAGAACTGGATAGGTATCTGGGGAAGACGGGTTTGCAGGTTATGGGGAGAAAGCTGGTGAGTGGGGATAGTGAAAGTGACGCTCTGTCAAAGAGCCGCACAGACTCGATGGGCCGAATGGCCTCCTTCTGAGCCGTAACATTCTATGAATCTATGAATCTATTCAAAAGATTAAAAGATGCACTGTAACCTAATACAATAGCAGAAGGTGGGGGGTGGTGGTGGGGGGGGGATGGGCTGAATCTTGTCCCTATGTTCTCTCCATGATCTGGAGAAAAGTAACGTTCGCAGAGTTACACAGTGTCACAGCACAGAAACAGGCCATTCGGCCCAACCAGCCCCGGGCCCCTCCGCCCACCTCTGCTCCCCCCGGGCTGGAGACACACTTCCCCGGGGGGTGGGGGGTGGGGTGTACACGGACGCCCACCGGTCTCACCTGAGGTGTCAGCAGTGTCTTGAGATGCTTGAGCTGCATGTTTACGGGCTCTGCTTCTCGCTGTGCATTCCCAGCCGCCGTTACCCCTGGTAACCGGCGCCGCCGCGTCACCGCATCCTGAGCACAGCCGCACGCACGGATCGGTGACGTGACCAGCCGATCCGCAGCACCTGGGTCACCGGCGCCGGCGCGTCACCGCATCCTGAGCACAGCCGCACGCACGGATCGGTGACGTGACCAGCCGATCCGCAGCACCTGGGTCACCGGCGCCGGCGCGTCACCGCATCCTGAGCACAGCCGCACGCATCGGTGACGTTAGCCCAGCCGATCCGCAGCACCTGGGTCACCGGCGCCGGCGCGTCACCGCATCCTGGGCACAGCCGCACGCACGGATCGGTGACGTGGGCAGTCGCCGTTGCTCCTGGTGACGGACCCGGCACACGAGGATGACGCGGGGGTGCGGCCTCTCTGAACAAGGCGGAGGCTCGGAGGGGCGTTTCGCCGTCTCACTGCTGCTGTGCCAGTCCAGGGGGGGGAGAGACGAGCGGCAAGTCTCTGAGTGTGGCTCCCCCCGAGCTACACCCCCTCACCCCGAGCTACACCCCCTCACCCCCGAGCTACACCCCCTCACCCCGAGCTACACCCCCTCACCCCCGAGCTACACCCCCTCACCCCGAGCTACACCCCCTCACCCCGAGCTACACCCCCTCACCCCGAGCTACACCCCCTCACCCCGAGCTACACCCCCTCACCCCGAGCTACACCCCCTCACCCCGAGCTACACCCCCTCACCCCGAGCTACACCCCCTCACCCCGAGCTACACCCCTCACCCCGAGCTACACCCCCTCACCCCGAGCTACACCCCCTCACCCCGAGCTACACCCCCTCACCCCGAGCTACACCCCCTCACCCCGAGCTACACCCCCTCACCCCCTCACCCCGAGCTACACCCCCTCACCCCGAGCTGCACCCCTCACCCCGAGCTGCACCCCCTCACCCCGAGCTCACCCCCTCACCCCGAGCTACACCCCCCCCCCCACCCCCCTCACCCCCCCCCCCCCCCACCCCCCTCACCCCGAGCTACACCCCCTCACCCCGAGCTACACCCCCTCACCCCGAGCTACACCCCCTCACCCGAGCTACACCCCCTCACCCCGAGCTACACCCCCTCACCCCGAGCTACACCCCCTCACCCGAGCTCCCCCCACCCGCTCACCCCTCACCCCGAGCTACACCCCCTCACCCCGAGCTACACCCCCTCACCCGAGCTACACCCCCTCACCCCGAGCTACCCCCCCCGACTCCCCTCACCCGAGCTACACCCCCTCACCCCGAGCTACACCCCCTCACCCCGAGCTACACCCCCTCACCCCGAGCTACACCCCCTCACCCGAGCTACACCCCTCACCCCGAGCTACACCCCCTCACCCCGAGCTACACCCCCGGCTCCTCACCCCGAGCTACACCCCTCACCCCGAGCTACACCCCCTCACCCCGAGCTACACCCCCTCACCCGAGCTACACCCCTCACCCCGAGCTACACCCCTCACCCCGAGCTACACCCCCTCACCCCGAGCTACACCCCCTCACCCCGAGCTACACCCCCTCACCCCGAGCTACACCCCCGGCTCCTCACTCCCGGCTCCTCACCCTGAGCTACACCCCCTCACCCCGAGCTACACCCCCGGCTCCTCACTCCCGGCTCCTCACCCCGAGCTACACCCCCTCACCCCGAGCTACACCCCCGGCTCCTCACCCTGAGCTACACCCCCTCACCCTGAGCTACACCCCCTCACCCCGAGCTACACCCCCTCACCCTGAGCTACACCCCCGGCTCCTCACCCTGAGCTACACCCCCTCACCCCGAGCTACACCCCCTCACCCCGAGCTACACCCCCTCACCCGAGCTACACCCCCTCACCCCGAGCTACACCCCCTCACCCTGAGCTACACCCCTGGCTCCTCACTCCCGGCTCCTCACTCTGAGCTACACCCCCAGCTCCTCACCCCCGGCTCCTCCCGCTGAGCTACACCCCCAGCTCCTCACTCCTGGCTCCTCACTCTGAGCTACACCCCCGGCTCCTCACTCCTGGCTCCTCACTCTGAGCTACACCCCCAGCTCCTCACTCCTGGCTCCTCACTCTGAGCTACACCCCGGCTCCTCACTCCTGGCTCCTCACTCTGAGCTACACCCCCAGCTCCTCACTCGCAGCTCCTCACTCTGAGCTACACCCCCAGCTCCTCACTCCCGGCTCCTCACTCTGAGCTACACCCCCGGCTCCTCATTCTGAGCTACACCCCCGGCTCCTCACTCCCGGCTCCTCACGCTGAGCTACACACCCAGCTTCTCACTCCTGGCTCCTCACGCTGAGCTACACCCCCAGCTCCTCACTCCCAGCTCCTCACTCTGAGCTACACCCCCAGCTCCTCACTCTGAGCTACACCCCCAGCTCCTCACTCCCGGCTCCTCACGCTGAGCTACACTCCCAGCTTCTCACTCCTGTCTCCTCACCCTGAGCTACACCCCCGGCTCCTCACTCCCAGCTCCTCACTCTGAGCTACACCCCCGGCTCCTCACTCCCAGCTCCTCACCTGAGCTACATGCCCCAGCTCCTCACTCCCAGCTCCTCACTCTGAGCTACACCCCCAGCTCCTCACTCGCAGCTCCTCACCCTGAGCTACATGCCCAGCTCCTCACTCCCAGCTCCTCACTCTGAGCTACACCCCCAGCTCCTCACTCCCAGCTCCTCACTCTGAGCTACACCCCCAGCTCCTCACTCGCAGCTCCTCACTCTGAGCTACACCCCCGGCTCCTCACTCTGAGCTACACCCCCGGCTCCTCACTCTGAGCTACACCCCCGGCTCCTCACTCTGAGCTACACCCCCAGCTCCTCACGCTGAGCTACACCCCCAGCTCCTCACTCCCAGCTCCTCACTCTGAGCTACACCCCCGGCTCCTCACTCTGAGCTACACCCCCAGCTCCTCACGCTGAGCTACACCCCCAGCTCCTCACTCCTGGCTCCTCACGCTGAGCTACACCCCCAGCTCCTCACTCCCAGCTCCTCACGCTGAGCTACACACCCAGCTTCTCACTCCTGGCTCCTCACGCTGAGCTACACCCCCAGCTCCTCACTCCCAGCTCCTCACTCTGAGCTACACCCCCAGCTCCTCACTCTGAGCTACACCCCAGCTCCTCACTCCCGGCTCCTCACGCTGAGCTACACTCCCAGCTTCTCACTCCTGTCTCCTCACCCTGAGCTACACCCCCAGCTCCTCACTCCCGGCTCCTCACCCTGAGCTACACCCCCGGCTCCTCACTCCCAGCTCCTCACGCTGAGCTACACCCCCAGCTCCTCACTCCCGGCTCCTCACGCTGAGCTACACTCCCAGCTTCTCACTCCTGTCTCCTCACCCTGAGCTACACCCCCGGCTCCTCACTCCCAGCTCCTCACGCTGAGCTACACCCCCGGCTCCTCACTCCCGGCTCCTCACGCTGAGCTACACCCCTGGCTCCTCACTCCTGGCTCCTCACACTGAGCTACACCCCCTCACACTGAGCTACACCCCCGGCTCCTCACTCCTGTCTCCTCACCCTGAGCTACACCCCCAGCTCCTCACTCCCGGCTCCTCACCCTGAGCTACACCCCCGGCTCCTCACTCCCAGCTCCTCACCCTGAGCTACATGCCCAGCTCCTCACTCCCAGCTCCTCACTCTGAGCTACACCCCCAGCTCCTCACTCTCAGCTCCTCACGCTGAGCTACACCCCCAGCTCCTCACTCCTGGCTCCTCCCGCTGAGCTACACCCCCGGCTCCTCACTCCTGGCTCCTCACCCTGAGCTACATGCCCAGCTCCTCACTCCCAGCTCCTCACTCTGAGCTACACCCCCAGCTCCTCACTCGCAGCTCCTCACGCTGAGCTACACCCCCGGCTCCTCACTCTGAGCTACACCCCCAGCATCTCACTCCTGGCTCCTCACGCTGAGCTACACCCCCAGCTCCTCACTCCCAGCTCCTCACTCTGAGCTACACCCCCGGCTCCTCACTCTGAGCTACACCCCCAGCTCCTCACGCTGAGCTACACCCCCAGCTCCTCACTCCTGGCTCCTCACGCTGAGCTACACCCCCAGCTCCTCACTCCTGGCTCCTCACGCTGAGCTACACCCCCAGCTCCTCACTCCCAGCTCCTCACTCTGAGCTACACCCCCAGCTCCTCACTCTGAGCTACACCCCCAGCTCCTCACTCCCGGCTCCTCACGCTGAGCTACACTCCCAGCTTCTCACTCCTGTCTCCTCACTCTGAGCTACACCCCCGGCTCCTCACGCTGAGCTACACCCCCAGCTCCTCACTCCCAGCTCCTCACTCTGAGCTACACCCCCAGCTCCTCACTCTGAGCTACACACCCAGCTCCTCACTCCCAGCTCCTCACTCTGAGCTATACCCCCAGCTCCTCACTCCTGGCTCCTCACGCTGAGCTACACCCCCAGCTCCTCACTCCCAGCACCTCACGCTGAGCTACACACCCAGCTCCTCACTCCCAGCTCCTCACTCTGAGCTATACCCCCAGCTTCTCACTCCTGGCTCCTCACGCTGAGCTACACCCCCAGCTCCTCACTCCTGAGTCCTCACGCTGAGCTACACCCCCAGCTCCTCACTCCCAGCTCCTCACGCTGAGCTACACCCCTGGCTCCTCACGCTGAGCTACACCCCCAGCTCCTCACTCCTGGCTCCTCACGCTGAGCTACACCCCCGGCTCCTCACTCCCAGCTCCTCACGCTGAGCTACACTCCCAGCTCCTCACTCCCAGCTCCTCACGCTGAGCTACACTCCCGGCTCCTCACGCTGAGCTACACCCCCAGCTCCTCACGCTGAGCTGTTTTTGTTTGGTCAGCCGGGTGTCTTAACACGTGCGGAAACACATCACCATGCTTTGAGAGTATACCGTACAAACCGAACCCGGACGTCCCACACCTACACATGATAGATTGTTGGAATAGAACGCACACTCTCTCCCTGGAGGGACACCTCCTGGCTACCTAATTCCAACAACAACTTGCATTTATATAGCGCCCTTCAATTCCAGAAAATATTAGGCGCAGTTTGGCAAGAGCCAAGGCTTGGGGAACCT